TTTAAAGACGGAGATGCCTGCAGAACACTGAATATATCCACCTAATCCCGACTTTTAATGCAAGCAAGAATCAACCCGGACATACATATGTTTATTTCGATGCATACCTGAATATATAGAATTCTCAAAAAGAACTTCACCTCATAACACTAAAATTTTACTCCTTAAAGAAAGAAAAAAGACTGTAGATATGCAGAATAATGTCCCGATATGGAGAAATATTCAAAAAACAGTCGCATTCTTCTACAGTCTGATTTTTTTTACAAAAAATGTGTATGTTGGAATTTCGACAATGTCTATTTGCACGGGGCGAGAAAATTGCGAGAAATGTAATAATTATGAGTGGATGGCCATATTACTGGCTGGAAACTATACAATCTTTGAGATACCCGGGTTAACACCAGTGAATGAATTAGTTCGTGGGGGACTAAAACTTTCCATGACTTGACTGGCTGCCTGACCGACTGCCCGAGGGATGCATAAAAAAAAAGATTCTCTTACCCTACCCTCTCTCACTCTCTCTTAATCTTTGTACCTGTTTACCTTTTTACAACAATTTTCAATATGTTGTAAAAAATAAGATTAAATATAAAAAAATAAAAAATAAAATCTTTCTTCGTTTTTATTCGCTTGATAACTTACTGTCTTTGAGCTTTAACTTTTGTCTCAATGTGAAAAATTAGTTTCATTTTACTCGTCTTAGAGCTGAATTTTTTTCCACTCTCATCGATGATTTTTTCTTCCTTCCTTCATTGTGTTGATGAACTTTTCTTAATCTCCACAAATCAAACTAATGCTTCTTTACTTTCTTCACCAAATCAAGATCACCCACACAACGTTTCTTTTATTGTCACATACATGATCTCCTGCAAGAACGATGTCCTCGCCCACAGGTCTTGTCATCTCACTTGGGTCTAATTTTACCTCACTAGTAATACTAATATCATCAAAAAAATTTACCATCATTAGTTATTGATATTGACTCATTGTCATTAAACCACTAAATCTTGGCAATAATCATTCTTTGGCCTTGATGGTTTAGCTTGCACATTTCTTTTGTCTTTTTGTCTACTTAACACTATCATTGAGGCAAATTAATATATTAAAATTTTGGATTTTTATATGCTTTTGCATTTGCGTCTTTTTACTTTCATTTTGGAATTGTGAATCATCTAAATTTTGGCTTTTTGGCACTATGGAATTTTGTAATCTGAATTTATTTTTTTGAAATCAAAATTAAGGTTTTTTTTTAGTGTTTATTACACATTGAATCTGATGATTTTTTGATATTATGAAATTTTGACTTCTGCATTTTTGCAAAATCTGCAAATTGTCTGAAAAGATCTAATATTAATTTTTTTGATATCAATAAATGAAAATGAATATATATATATATATATATAAACCCTATTGTTTGATTCAAACTAAGTGTAAAACTTTGACATGTTATTTATGTTTTCTGATGATGATCTACAGAAGCGCTCCATCAAACCCAGCAGATGAATCATGCACATCACATTAACAAATTCATTGTGACAAGATTTCATAATTGTACACTACGATCAAAATGTTGTGGGCATTATTGGATGGACAAAAGCCATCTTGAACCGTAAATCATGACTGGAGAAGGAGATCTCAGGCGTGCCAAGCCATGCCATGTGAGTGCTGATATGAAGTGCCACATCTTTCTTCCAAATTCTCTCAAGCTTTTCCCAGGAAGAGATTGCGAACCAGACCTTAAAAAGATATTGACCTGTTTTCTATGAAATTCTGAGAACGTCGTAAACCCGTATATATTTAATGAGGTTCTATGAAACACTAGATTCTAAACATTTTGATCTTTATGTTCAATACGTGTTCACGTTTCTCCAGTCGATGTGTTCGTGAATCAAACCATACAGAACTTGTAAACAAAACCGGTCCATTTCCGGAGGTTTATAAATGCAACCATTTGGATGGCTTACAGGTGTTCTTTCTGAGAGAAATCGAGTATATTCAGTGCCGTGTGCCATGTAGCCTATACTGAATTCCGGCCGCCTCCGTAACTTGAATAATTTATGGGCCATAAGTTATGGCGCATTTGGTTTCTCGAACAAGGTATTGTAACGAAGGAAAAGGAGAGACTAGAGGGTGCGTTTGATCAATGTTAAGATACTATCGACCATCCTGACGAACCAAATTTGGAAGCCATGGAGGATCATAGGGACGACAACTGTAAACGATTAGATTCGATTGAAAAGTGCCTACATCTAAGTATCGATCTAAGTACAGTGGGATTGAAGCACTTATTCTATCTTCAGAACCTTTTGAAACCACTGCCTCCTGTTCGCTTGCAAACTTTTGATTTACAGATCTGGTTAGATGTCATATAATATACATGAACGTCATTCCTAGATAGGTTCATGTTAAGACTACCTCCACAGAAGAATACTTTTGTTAAATATAGCTTTTTGAATTTGCTTTTGTGAGGATGTCGATGAACTCAATATGTTTTTCATTTACAGTAACTGATTTCTCCATTGTGTTTCACTTTGATCAGAAAACCGCCATTTCGGTCATTTGAACACCAATACATCCCTGTAATTTCAGAGTAGTGTTCAAAATTCAGCAGCATCTTATTTAATGGTTCAGCTTGAAGAAGCACTTAAGAGTTGGATGAAGCCATTCCATATTGCCAATGCACTAATATCTAACTCATTGTGAAGCATCCGTTCCGTGAATGAGTATGCTGTGTTTAACTTCATAGCATACCTACTATACCAAGGACATGCCCAAGAGAGTTTGTAAACTTTTGTGCAACTAAGAGTTTAGCTGCACAAACTTATTAATAGCCCCTATATAGGGCCTTCATAGACCCAGGCAGGTGTCATCCTGCAGTGAGCCGTGACGGAAGTTCTTCTTTTTGCTGTGACTCTCCTCTTTTGGACCAAAGATGGAAGAATGTGCGGGCAGGCTAACCGGGCAGGTTTTTGATTGGCACTCAGTTTTACGGTGGAGCATCAAAGTGACTGAAGCAGATCGCTCCGCTTTCCAGCAGACGGATCTAGCGATGGACTATAAGAACATATGGGCATCCATCCGCACTCAACTATGAGGGAATCCATATTCTCACAACCTGGTCAACGTCATACTGACGAGCATAGTTTTTCACAGCAGAATTGTTCAACCGATGCTTGAAACTATGTTGACCACCTTGAAAATGTTTTTCTCCGTGCTTTTCCCTTCTTCCCCTGTTACCTGAGCACATGAATCCACCAGAGAATGGACCGAATAGGCAAGTCACAATTCGCCAGTTAGTCTTTCGGAACGTAGGGTACGCCGACCCTCCCCGCAAAGTGCCCCGCCTCCCCTTTCCCAAAACTGAGATAAAATCCGGCTGCTCCGGGTCAGCCGGAAGGGAGTATGAAGAAAGAACGAAAGAGGAGAAAGAAACTGGGATCTGGGCAGTACGGCCGTTTGTAAAAGTTTGTGCAACTAAGCGAATCCAAGAAACTGGGATACCTTACACCTGGAAGTAAGGCCGTTTGTAAAAGTTTGTGCAACTAAGCGAATCCAAGAAACTGGGATACCTTACACCTGGAAGTAAGGCCGTTTGTAAAAGTTTGTGCAACTAAGCGAGTCCAAGAAACTGGGATCCCTTACACCTGGCAGTACGGCCGTTTGTAAAAGATGGATCACGCATGCGCGACTTAAATAAAACGTTGTGGCTATGAATGAGTATGGCAGTTTGTAAAAGTTTGTGCAACTAAGCGAGTCCAAGATGGGTCACGCATGCGCGACTTAAATAAAACGTTGTGGCTATGAATGAGTATGGCAGTTTGTAAAAGTTTGTGCAACTAAGCGAGTCCAAGATGGGTCACGCATGCGCGACTTAAATAAAACGTTGTGGCTATGAATGAGTATGCTTGTGAGGCACTCATTCAGAAGACAAAAGTTATTGTTGTGGAGGTGCGGGGTCCAAGATGGTTCACGCATGCGCGACTTAAATAAAACGTTGTGGCTATGAATGAGTATGGCAGTTTGTAAAAGTTTGTGCAACTAAGCGAGTCCAAGATGGGTCACGCATGCGCGACTTAAATAAAACGTTGTGGCTATGAATGAGTATGCTTGTGAGGCACTCATTCAGAAGACAAAAGTTATTGTTATGGAGGTGCGGGGTATCGATCCCCGTGCCTATCGCATGCAAAGCGATCGCTCTACCATGTGAGCTACACCCCCTTCATGCACTCCAGTAAAATTCTTATCTTATTAAATATTTAAAAAAATATTCATGTACCATTTTTGTTATAGACATTACATCGTCGGATTTCACAAAGTTTAGCCTCAACTGAACGTATGCTCGTGTGGCATCTTCCCGTAAAAGTGGAATTTTCTCGTCAACACAGTAAAATAAAAAGTTTACACTGGGCATGCAGATTGCATCATTAAGGCCCGACACCTTCATACTGTATTGATCTATTCAAATCCGGAAGTGATATTTAATCCGAGCAACTAGAATGTGACCGAAAGTTCTTACTTTTTCAAGTGCAAATATTTCAAGGTTGAGGGTTTACAGTGTGATAATAGTTCTACGGGTCCAGATATACCCTCAGACTAATGAGGAAAAATAGACTCGCGTGCTCAGTACACATCCTGTAGAGCAGGCGAAGGAAAAACAGAAGCCGGTGTCTGGAAGCGGATTGAGTAGCATGCTTAGAACGTAGAGATACGGGCGATCCCACAGGCTAAGATCAACTCGGGTCACGTGCATAAATGAAGCCGCTCACGTTCGACGCAATAGTGTACGTGTATATATCCACAAGTTTGCCTTCATGGTGCCTTCATGGGGTAGTAAGAAAGGGTTTTGACACTATTCTTTGCAGGCGGTTCCCCTGCTTGGGACGAGCGGCGCTTCCTTCTTCTCAGCTCTTTTCTACCTACAATGTGAATACAAACTAGAAAGGTGTAATCCAATAACCTCAAAAAGCAAAACTAGCACCAAAGTCCTCACATTTGGACATGCATAGAATACACTTCAAGATCCTATATTTCTGTGAATGCACGGTGGCAATTTGTACTCGACACAGAAATCTGTGAAAGAGATCTTTTACAAAGGATTCGGTTAAAACCCCAACTCTAGTAGTTCTTTGTAAATTGAAGGTACCTCCTGTCCGTTCTGAAGAATACTCGAAGAGTCGACCTGTATAGATCTTACAGGGCCTCAAGATCTTCCAGCTAAAGTTCCTAGATCCCTCTCATTCAAACTAAATAGCTTGTGTGGTCTCCGACCTCTAGACGACCTGACCGCATTAATATAATACATAAAGAGATGACCTACATGCAGAGTCTTTGTAAAATTTAGAGACTGCATGAAAAATACTTCAAACCCCCAAAAATGAGAAGTACGCGGCGAATGAAGTCATTGGTTCTACCTACATTTGACTCGTGCGAGCACAAAAGAAAAATATCGAGACAGATGACAAAAAATAATTGAATCTTGTGGCTCAAGCCCTTTGTGACTTTGCCGACTTTTTCTCGTCTGCCTTTTTCTTTCTTTGTTTGAGCAGTTCCACACTTGCCTTCTTCTTCCCAAGACCCATCTGTAATTGCACAGATTAACGATAGGATTAGTGAAACTGCATGATAGGTTCATTCGACGTATTAAATAGGTTGGGAGGATAGTTCTTGATAATGACGATTTTCCTCTATCAACAAAACGGAATAAACACCAGCCCAGGTCAATTCAAACATCTGAACACAACACGACCAAACATACACCGCCAATGTTCTCACCTGCATTGCTTCGTACAACTTTTTCGTCTTCTTTGGCATCATCATTTGCGCGAGGGTTGCAGTTTCGTCGTCAGCCCCAGTAGGTGTCATAGTCGGCGGCCTTGTTTCTTGTGCATCATCTGACATGGCATCCTTCTCCTCTGGCTCTTCTAGGGTAGACGAATAAGGCACTCCTGCAATTTCCTTCGAGAGCTCCTCGGTGTACGTTTTTTCCAGTAGCATGGCCTACAAGTGGGAGAAAATCATGAACATCACTCAAACAGTCGTTTCCCAGATTTGCGTAGAATTATGTCTTCACAAAGTGAAAGGCGGGCTCATTATTAGAGGTAGATAATACTTCACAGGCGGAACCAATTGATATTGACTGACTGCGGGGCTGTAAACTCTTTCAGCTTACTCGGTAAGGTCAAAAGTCTCCACCAACATTTAGAGGTAAGATGATACTTCAGTTACTAAAGGAGAAGGAGAAAGTACTTAGAGGTAGATAATACTTCACAGGCGGAACAAATTGATATTGACTGACTGCGGGGCTGTAAACTCTTTCAGCTTACTCGGTAAGGTCAAAAGTCTCCACCAACATTTAGAGGTAAGATGATACTTCAGTTACTAAAGGAGAAGGAGAAAGTACCTGTTGTTCCTTCGCGGCAATCTCTGCTGCTTCACTACGACGAATGGCAGCTGCTTCCTCGGATTTGTTCACATCGTCCATTTCTTCTTCAGCTCCGGGCAGAGGAAGGACATGTTTAGCTGATGCAGCCTGCAGCCTCTTGATAGTCTCCCCATACTCAGGAATGTAGCCTTCGGCCTCGTTATCCACAAACGGTGACAAGTGTGGAGGAGGTACTCTGCAGATGATAATTACAGAGAAGACTTATCAGAACTCATGGCTCCACCCTCCATCTGTCATTCAAGCAGGAGTAAGATGTGCTCACTGACTACATATAAACACATAACCTACATTACGCGTCAGATGATCCAACATGAAGAACATAAACGACCATTTAAACATATTACAAGCAGACAAGCCAATGAGATTTGTCTCAGTAGCATTCTCGAGCCGAGAGGGACATACCTTCCAAGCACGTAGGCGTCAGTGGGAAGCAGAATTCGAGCGTTGCAGCAGTCATACACCCACTGAGGTTGCACATAATCTCTAGACAAAAACTTATGACCCTGGGTTGGTCTGTCGACAATCTGTAAAGAAGGGCTACTGAAGTCAGCGTCCTTCTGGAAGATAAAATGATGTCCAGTACAGAAGAGTATTCGTCGACAACTTCGAAAGTGTCTTCGTGAACGGTTTTGGTTAATCGAATCATAATCAGTAGTAGATCTTTCTAATGAATCTTAGGAAGAGACTAACCTGATGAGTTATGGTTTCATCGGACTCCTCAATAGGTGCACCATCTCCATCCCAGGAAACCGTTCCTCCAAAAGCTCGAATTGTGAACAGGAGAGAATCCCTAGGAACCTGCATGAATAGATGTTGCCTAAGTCGATTGACGATTTTTAACTTCATAGCATACCTACTATACCAAGGACATGCCCAAGATGGATCAGGCATGCGCGACTTAAATAAACGTTGTGGCCATGAACTATACAGTTGTTTGAAGGGACGTGAGTGAGAGAGGTACCTCACGGGCTAAAAAGATTTTGAAGTCCTTGAACAAAGTCTTGCACCTGATCGTCTCCTCGTCTTCTTGTTCCTCTATTGTTCCCTCGGAATTCACAACCTCCATCAACTCTTCTACTCCTGCAGTAGCTTTTTCTAGACGTTCGTCGATGACTGGTGGGTAGTTGAGGCCCAGGGCGTGATAAAGCTTGAAGTTTACGAACCCAACTAAAGTCTGATCACAATCGCGTTCAAAATTGTACCAAACAACGTGTAGTGAGATAAAGGAGCTCCCAGATGGATGTATTGAGGCATACACGAACTGTGCATGAAATGAACTGGTGGCATGTAGTAACTGAAAATTGTGAGAGGATTCCGAGATGTACCTCATAGAACTCCACGAAGGTAAGCATGACACGGAAATCCACATCATTTGGAAGAACTTGACTCAGAACATGAGGAGTAAGCCAGGTTATCTTTTGACCAGTAACGTCTGCCTGTTTCAAACAACGTCCAGGTGAAGAAGTGGCATCAGAATCAATGAACTTCTTTGCTTCTAAGCACAAAGTGAGCCAGAAACTTTCAGAATTTCACGACTGAAATATTGGGTGAAACAGATCTGCAGGTCACCTGGTAGTATATTCCCTTCACCGAGACAAAAACCTTTCGTAAAGAGTGGGTTCGAGTGATGTAAGCTTGCCATTCCAAACTCAACCTTCAAAAACAGCAGGACAGGGAGAAGTGTAAGAATTCTAGGAGTCTTGGCAACATCCCTAGCTTCACGTCTAATACGTCGATGCAAGACAAGCTAACGATTCCGACAAACCGCATGGGCAGAACTACCTTCGAGCGATTTGGACTCGTTCGACGGGAATTTTGTGAACATTGTCTGCCGGCAGCGTGGCAAAAAGGTGGAGCATGGTTAGAGGATCATCCATATCCCGAAGAGCATCGATAAACGACGGGTACCTGCGACACAGATAGCAATGAGTGTCCAACTCACAATACACTCGTAAACGCAATTTCGTGAACGATGAGGCAAATCCTAGTTTCATTTGAAAGTTGCTCTGCTCGTTACTACAAGAACTTTCCAAATACCCGCCGCGGTTGAGATGTTCACATATGCGATGTTGCAGGAGGGTACAGAGAAGGCTAAATTACCTCTCTTTGACCAAATGATCTAGACTGTAGGCAGGTCGCAGCCTGTCAAACCGCTGTGCAAGTTCTTTATTTTTCTTGGCTTTAGCCTTCTTGATTTTCCTGTCATAGACCTTGAGTTCCCTGTTGATCCAATCCACGTCCCTTATCAGTAGCCAGAAATTGACGTCGCAGTGTACGCCACTATGAGAAAGTCTTCCCAGCATAGTAAACACGAAAATTGATAACTTTACGCCAAACATAAAAATCCAAAACAAGGACTCTTCGCGCCACTAAACGCTCGGAAGCAACAGATATGACAGTAAGGAAAAAAATTCGGGTTCATCTGTGAGTATATGATTGATCAGGCTAGAGATGATAGAGCTAAAACTTCAGTTAAAAATAGAATTCAGTGAAAACAGAATTCAAAGCTTTGATCATGCGTCGTGACACCGTTGAAATCCAGCAGCAAGTCTAAACGGTTTATCAAAAAGGCTGACAAATAAATCTCCAAACATTGAAAATCACGTAACTAATTGTTGTAGAGCTACTAAAAACATTACCTGCCCTTTTCCAACAGAGGCTCGTGGGCGAGAAAGTTGATGTCCTTGACATGGTAATAAGTCTTGTTATGTCCCTCAAATTTCTTCTTCGGTTCACGGGGATGGATTCCCTTCAGAATGCACAGGCGCCTACAGCACAAAAAGTGTCATAACACGAAAATTCAGCTGGGCTGCTTGCGTGTCACTTCGGACACAATAATCGGGAACGTGGGAACTGAATGGGGAAGTCTTCTTAGGAAAGAACTAATTTACACCTGAATTCGGGTAGTTTGATTTGCAGACGATTCAAAGCCTTATTACGAGTGGTGTACTTGGCTACATTTCCTTCCTTCCTTTTACCCTGTGAGCAAGCCACACAAAGTTCTAATCAGTGACGGCGAACGCACGGACGGACGAAATCCTGCCCCTCAAAAGCCCACCACATCCAGGGCAAATGACCTCACTATCGAGCCGCACTATACTACACTATCTATCAATCGAGACATTCTCCTAAAAACTACACTCCGAGCCATTCTGCCCGCCCTAACGCATCATCAGAAAACATTTGGCTGATTCAATTCCAGAGTGTCTGACCGGCGGCCTGTATTGTTTGGATTTCTGCTGCTTCGTGAGCTTATTTTTCGATGGCTTAACCATCGTCTCACGCAGGCCTTGAAACTGCTTCTTCCGTACCCACGTTCAGCTTTCGGGTTCCTGCGACTCAAATCCGGAAAAGGATCGACCAGATTTTGAGACCAACGCTTCGAACGTGGAACGAAACCTCGACGAGGCAGAGTACAACACTCTCAGAGGGAGTGCGTGGGGAAAGGACCGACAATGACCAAGGGTTGGGGCTTTAGTCTCTCGTTAGGGTTTAACGTCTTTCATCCACTGCCTTCGAGGCGACCCTCAGGGGCGCGCGACGCCCTCGACTCAACAAAGAGCTCCCCGCCGCAACCCAGTTTGGTGGAGCTCGGTGGACAAGCTGCCGTCTTAACCACGTAAATTACAACCGCAGTAAGCTGTGGACATTACTGTAGTAAGGTAACAGAATCCATGACTCGGTTACGTACCTTACCGTGGGATCGTGAGAAAATATACTTATTACAAGAGGCGCATGGAATTAGGAGCACCTCCCAACGTAAAAGTATCAGCGTCGTTACAAGGCCGTCCTGGTTTCCCTCTAAGACGGTGTTACAGAAAAAAATAGAAAAAAATAGCAAAATTATATGAGCGACTTTAGAACCTGAACGGAGATCACGTGTTATGCGATAATTAATGTTGTCTTCGCTCTGTTCTATCTGCCCGTCAAGGCGCTTACTACAGTAGGGAATGTTGTCGGCCATTTGGACGACGCTGCGACAGAGCTCGCGACTCCTTGTGAGGCGTCGCGAGAACTGTCTCTGCGCCGTGACTGCACGGAGGCGACCCTGAGATCTTAGTCGTGACGGCAGTCTGGGCAGAAACCTTCCCCTACCGTCGGAGCAGCTCTTGCCACCTGAAGCTCGGTCGTCGTCAGAAGGCGAACGTTCTAGGGTATCACGAAGAAGGCGAGCGTTTCTCAATTTCTTGACGACCTGCAATCCGAATATCACGAAGATTGTGACAATGTGAGAGTTTGAGTGTATGAAACAATCAGGTTATGGTTAAGGTTTGAAGCGATGGCAAATCGAACGGATCCCACCGCTCGAAGCGTTCACGGAACGAATCCGCAAAACCTCGTGGAGAAGATTTTGCGGTCGAAGATTTACCAGAATACGTACTGGAAGGAGCAATGTTTCGGTCTCACTGGTGTGCATTTTAAAATTCCCTCTAATCGTTTTGAGCGGAGTGTTTTTCCTTCTGCTAGTCGTGAGCTTTATCGTGGCTTTGTACGTCTGTAAGCTTGCTGTGTTTCGCTGGTAGCGTCAGCTGAAGTGTATGTTCGTGCAAGAATTTTTATTGGCGGTGACGAGAGAGTGATTATTGCGTTCCTGGTGGTGCATAATTTCAGCGGAAACTTTGGTCGACAAGGCCATGGAGCTGGACCACTTCGGGGGCACATTCGGAGGCAACAGGAAGGCCACACCTTTCATGTGCTTGATTTTGAAAATGCTGCAGATTCAACCGGAGAAAGAGATCGTTGTCGAGTTCATAAAGAACGAGGACTACAAGTATGTGCACTGCTTCTGTGTCACAAAGTCGCTTCGGAAGGTGTCTCGATTGCAGAAGTAATTGTGAAGTTTGCGAAAGCAAGTTGCAATAACGAAGGATTATTGAGAAAGTTTCCATCCGTTTGTACCTTTTGATAAATAAAGCTTGTCCGAGTGAGTCACTGACAAGTTCCATTGACCAGATATGTGCGAATTTTAGGTGGTTTCTACCTCCGACTAGTCGGTAAACCGACCGATGTGTATCATTATTTGGAACCGCTGTACAATGACTACCGAAAGCTACGTCGGAAGAATGCTGATGGAAGTAAGTTACTCGCAGAGTTCGAGACCTTCGTGTTCTTTCTCCACATCTGATAGTGAACAACGTACGAATTGATCATTAAATACCTTAGTGAACGTTCGAATTATTCCGTTTTTCATGCTCTGCTGTGTATGAAATTAAGGACTAGCTTCTACTTCGAGTTGTCTTTTTCTTTTTTTTGGCGTTGTCGGGGTGGTGTTAACATGTAAGTTAAGTGAATGATTATATTTGCAGGCTTTTCCTTGGATCACGTTGATGAGTTTATCGACGAGCTACTTACAAAGGACTACAGCTGCGACATTGCCTTACCTCGTGTTCCTAAGAGGTACACACTCACACTCTAGCTCTATCTCTCTAAATGCCCTTAAGCATTTAGCCACTCTTCTTTCGCTTAAACGAGATTCACCATGACCTTTTGTAAACACATCTCATGAATACCCGGTTGATTGAAACACCATTCTTCCAGGTGGACTCTCGAAGGCAGCGGCACTCTCGAGCCGAGGAGGAGTGCACTTGAAGATGATTTTGAAGAGGAAGAGGAGAAGGAAGAGGAGGAACCTGCTGCTGGAGCCGTAGAACAGGCTGAATATGAGAAAGTAAGTCGGAAACGTTCAGCGTTCTACTCGATTTCTGTACGAAATCCTGACATTTCAAATTGAGAACCTGTCTTGTTATCATCTTCATTGGAAACTTTAACCCTAACTCATTTCGTTTTCCCTTGCATTTTTACAGGAACGTAGGAGGAGCCGAAGTCCTGTGAAGGAAAGAGACAGGGAGAAAGAGAGGGATCGTGATCGATATCGTGATTACAGGTATTTTCTTTCAGATGTTTTTAATTCGCCCCATTTGGATCAAAACTCTGGCACTCGCTTCTTGTCTAGCTTGGTGCCAAACCTTGCTCTAACTGGGAGTTGCATTTTCTCTTTGTGGAGTAAACAACTGACACTCTGCCGTCAAGTCTATGTTGTGGATCATATGACGTCTTTTTGTATTTATTTGTTACTTCCGTAGCTTTTAGGGGGGTTCATCTGTGGATGATTGATGACTAGATGATTGTTGACTAAAAGGTTCAAATTAATGTTTGAGATTATGCTCAACTAAGCACATCAGGTTTTCAAAATCTTTTACATGCCATGGATAAGTTCAGTGTTTGCTAAGCTAGTTGGTATGGTTTCATCAGGGACCGGGACAGAGACAGAGACAGGGATAGAGATAGAGACCGAGACAGAGATCGTGATAGGGACAGGGATCGGGATAGGGATTATTACAGAGAACGTGAACGGGACAAAGACAGGGATTTGCACAGGGAAAGGGACAGAGATAAGGAAAGAGATTACTACAGACGGGATAGGGATCGAGATCGCGATAGACACAGAGATCGTGACAGGAGGAGGAACTCTCGTAGTCGAAGCAGAAGTAGAGAAAGAAGAGATAGGGACCGTGATGTGCGCTCGATTTCACCTGTGGATCGAAAGAAGAGATATCGCACACCAACCCCACCCCCTAACCGCAGGAGGCGCGCTGACGATGATGGGCCTTTGGAAGAAGGTGAGCACAGAGTGGGAGTGGGCAAAGAGGACGACGACAAGAGGAAGAAGAGGAGAGACAAGAAAGACAAGCCTCCCGACAAGGACAAGAAGGAACCGGTTACGGATGGTACAGATCATCCGGACCCTGAAATTGCTGAGGCAAATCGCTTACGTGCAGCATTGGGTTTGAAGCCACTCAGAGTTTAGAGGTATATCTTATTCAGGCCGAAGGTTAGAGCACCTTTTTTTATCGTGGTATCGACAGTTAGTGGAAACCACATTATGTAGCGGACTCCTGTGTAAATTTTTTGCCTTGTGAATACCAAGAGGATGATAGTAGCATGGTGTTACCCCTTTGATTATGTTCTCCTTGCAAGGTGATATTACGAGATAGTTAGTGGTTTGCTGATTTCATTGGAGTTGCTACTGGTGTGCTCGAAATGATGATTCGGAAATACGAAACTGTGAAAGAAACACTTAACAGTCGATGCACTAGTATTCTTTTTCTCCACAAGTTTTTGGTTAAAGAAGAAAACACCTCTTTCATAAATGAAGTTCGTCCGAAGCCTGACTTTCATATGTCAGGGCCAGAATGGATACTCAGTAGTGACATTCCAGGAACTTTTCTGGCAAGAATTCTACAGATACCTGATGATCCCAGCCAGTTTTCTACGCAGCTCGACTGCTCCAGAATAAGATGGATGCGTTGTATGTTTATCACCTCATATCTTGTTTCCTCTGGTAGTGCTTCACGGACGCTCAGATGAGTACGTTGTGGTTGCACCTAGAGCTGACCTTATCTTGGGTCCATATGGAGGGCAGACCTTGCTTCCACTCGGATTTACAGAAGATAAAATGACTGTCTTCGGAGGCTTGAGCAACCGAGAAATGAATGACTTGAACGTCTTGTCTTTGACATTACTGAACTTATCGTCTTCGCCACGTTCCTCTCCTGGAAATAACAAGGAAGAGGTAGGACGCTTGAAGGTTTCTCAAAGCAGCCGCTACTGCCCTTGCTTTTCCTTGCATCTTGTCCTTCGCAGATGCGATGATTGACTTGCTGAAAGACCCAGCGCCAAAGTGAAGCAGTCTGGGCAGTTGAGCCGACTGGTCGGTCCAAGTCGTGAGCCGCAGGTGTCACGGCATCCTAGTCCTCTACCCATTTACAGTTTCCGAAAGTGACTTCAGCTGGAGGTGGTTCCTTCATTAGACAGGAGGCCGGCACAACATATTACTTCTTTACGGTGCCGAGTATGTAGCAGAGGTTGGGCCTTGTGTCTAAAGGAGAAGAGGCGAACAGGTAAAAGTGATGACGTAAGTAATTTGTCCTGCCGGAGGTGATTTACTTCTCGTTCATACGGGCACCCTCAACCCCTTGCGTCTCCAAGTACCGTCGCCTCGTGGTTGGCATGAAAGATTGGCAATGTTCCAAATCAGACAGGGTCAAGTTAGCGAGAGTAAATGCCTGCGTTGGAAGACTGGGATCTCTCAGTCCAAGGTAATTCTGAATCTCAGACTCGCCCGGTTGTACCTGTGGACCTAACTGGCTATCAGGATACAGATGAGCAGCTATGGCCACTGAAGTGAAGCCCGCCCGGTTCCTGCTTCTTGTCCTACAGTGATGTAGAAATTTTTTACATATTTCAAACCTGCCTGATTGTAAATTTAGTGAAAACTTGGGACTTTTTTGAGGCATGCCAGACAGACAGAGGCCGCTTTTTGAGCAACAACTTCTGTCATATGTTCCGGCCATCTTGGACTTTGTTGAAGTACAATCTCATTTTGTGGACTCCAAACAAGCTGGTCCGTTTCATGCACAGTAGCCCTGACGGGGTCAAACCAAGGTCCGTATGGAATATGACCCCCCCGTCTCAGCATGGCGTAGTCTCCGCAGTTCGGATCGTCGTCAACACATGAGTGTTCTTCATGATTCGAGGTGCCCATCGTCTTCCCCCGTCAATGCTTCATTTGCGAGCATCTCTTCAAGGGAATCCCCTACTTATCCAAATTGCATTGTTCGAGTTACTTCTAAACACGAAATTTGCTGCGAACAAGATTAAAACAGAGTATTTATCTCAGTGATTGTAAAGTACGATTACAGCTGTCAACGAGGGTAAGCTCTCAATCCGTGAGCAGGTCAATGCTGCCAAAGGAAGTCTCTCTCTAAAGAAGTTTTAATTCTCCTGCAGAGTGAAGGCGCTCTTCGCGGAGGGAGCAACGCGCTAATTTCGACGTCTTCGATTTGTATGAGAGAGGACTGTAGTGCTATGTCCGGAAGAGAGTACATGGTCCTGGAGGATCTGATCTAGCAGCAAGCGATATCGCTGTTCTCCACGTGGTAGGGGTTGCCGATCTCGAAGAAGTACACACTCTGTCGTCATTGTTTGACACGTAGTGACTCTCTTTTGAACTCGGATCTGACTGCTCCAGCGAGTAGATGAGTGCGGGGAACAGTACAACAGACCTTTCAAGCCTTACAAATAGACGAGCTCCAGCAAGAAATCCTGAAAAGGCTTTCGACGCTTGACGCTTGACTCTTGAACTTGAATGACAACGTCTCACGAGGTGATGCCTGATGATGTTCAGTTACAACTCTCCAGTCAGATCCCTGAAGTGTAAGGGAAATATCTGCAACCAAGATCCATGTACACCTTCCAGCTGGAGTAAAGTGCCACTGATTCTTGAGTAAAGCGATGTACGTACAAACGCCAACTTCTATCGGACAGATGGTGCTGATTATTGCTGAATCGATCAATTCCAAGAGATCCTTAACCTACATTTTGCGTGATGTCCCTATCTTCTCAAGCTCTCACCCCTAAATTCCTGCTCCTTCGCCCACAATGCTATAAATCATTGATATTTATTATCAATTAGGATCACCGTGAAGTATCAGCCTAGCGTCTTTTAATAATTCTCCACGCGCTTACTTTTCTCAAGCGCTGATTCTCTAACTTCATCCGAAGAAGGTCTTTCCATGGAGGTCATCTAATCAATGTAGTGGAATGTTGTTCAAAACAACAGTGCTGCCATCAATCATCACGTCTTTTGGAACAGAAGACGCCTACATTAAAGTTCCTTGTGGTTCTCGAGGGCTAGTAGGCGAGGCGAGGATTTCACCATAAAGAACCATCAAGGAACATTCGGTGAAAAAAGGAAAGATCAAAAGCTAGAACGGGGCACGCAAACTTCAAAGATGACGCAAGAGGAAAGGAAACGAGTCAGCCCCGCCTCTTGCCGAGCAAAACCCAACTAGTGAACGAACTGTACCGTCATGGACAATCACATGGTCATGGAAACTAACCCCCGCCCTTTCATGCTTGCCATTGTGATGCAAATGGGCCTAACCCCATGAAACCCGTTTGGGTTCATCCCTGTAGGCCTTGATGGGGGGAGGGTCGTCCCATCCTTTCGGCAATTTTCTTGGAGCTCCCACCAATAGCCTTTCATGCATTCAAACACATGGCCCGTCCATGATCCTCGCCTTGACATGACCGGATTGAGGGAATTCAGCATACCGCCCCAGGAGAATATAGAATCTAGTGAGAGCATCCATCTCGACAACCCTCCCCCGGGGAACAACATGCTACTCCGAATTTCTCCACAGATCCTGCGTTCTCTCCAGGCCATGGATTCGAGAGCATCCACCCTAAAAGACCACCCTTCCTCCTCCTACACCTCCATCGCCATTGGTCCCCACCTCGATATTATACGCCATCACCCCCAGAATGCCTGCCGCCTTGCTTCGCGCCTCTATGATTAGAGCCCGGGGGTGGAGAATGGCGTCTCACATCCTCCTGCTCCCATTTTCGTCCCATTCCTCAAAAGTCAAATGCTCAGTTACCTCCATCATAAAATGGCCCGAAGTAGATTGGAGCTCTGCGATCGTGGGTCACTTTTCGCAGCCCTGATTGGAATCCCGGGACGCCAGATTTCGACGATGCTGAGGATGAGAGGGAACATCGAACATCGAACAATTGGCCAAGCAAGTGAATAAGTAAGTAAGTAAGTCCTCGTGCACCAGCACCCCCGCCCGCCCGCCCTCCCGCCCCCTCTAGAATGTAGCGGCTAGCGCCAACGGCATGTCGCCTTTGTCAGTGATGATTTCACTCTCTCTGCTCTGGAGTTTTGCTTCAGGGCCAAGCCAAAGCCAGGGCCCCTTTCCTTTCCTTTCCTTTCCCTTTGCTGCTGCTGCTGCTCTGGCTGGCCCACCGGGAGCCTCGCAGGCTGACTGGCTGGCCGGTCATCCGGACGAAATAATTCCCACCTTTCTCGGTGGGCTTTTGGTGAATAATATTACTTGTGGGACACAGAAGATTTCGGTTTCTTTACTCTCAAGTCATGCAACAGAAGAAGTCAGTCCATGTAGGAGAAGTATTTGGGGGCCATCTTCTGAGTTATGGGCTCTTGACGGCGTTTGTTGGAATAGTTTGTTGGCCAAAAGAAGGTGCGAAATGCTCGCCCCGAAAACTTTTCTCGATTGAGAAAAGGTGGCTGGTGCAATACTCTTGCCACATGTTGCAACGTTCGAGGATATTTACTGCTGTATATTTGCACTTTCTATTATTCTAAATGGTCGTATGCAAATATATAAATTCTTCTTCGTACCTTTTATTATATGTTATTTATTTCGATCATGATTCTTTTTCATTCTTTGAGTATGACCAAGGCATGCAAACACTAGACGGAATCCTCTCACTGGGAGAAGAACCCCAGATAATATTAATAACAATCAGTATATGGTGTTTTGATAATTGATTTCAGCTATTTCATCCATAATGCAATCAACACGTGACTGTTTGTGAAACGTGTGATTTATGTAAGTGCTTCAACTAATCCCACAAGCATAAGTGTTTCAGTATAATTGAAGGTACATGAGCATATAAAGCATTGTCATGACTATACTGTGTGTTGTATTACGATGTGTATTCTCACAATATCACACTCTAGTTATTTCAGTTAGATAGTTCACACATCAGAATTGACGATCTCATTCGGTATTAATCTTGTTTAAGCATATTATAACCTTTGCTACCTTGAAAGTTGCAGCATAGACATCTTCTATTGATGATTGAAAGTTATATTTCATTCTCATATCTTCATTTAATCCATTCGATTTATTAGGTTTAATAGATTTTATGAAATTATCTCTCTTCAAATATATATCTATATGTTCAAAAGTGACATGGTATTGATTGTGGAGAAATTTCAAATTTCTTCTTAAAAGTAGATATATTAGCTTCAATTCAAGTACATAGTTAGCTAATTGTTCAAGACATAATATTACTTTTATATATCAGCATATACTTTGTCAAATTTGATTTCATATTAAAAATTTGGAAAAAAATTATAATCTAATACATATTAATAATGTAATAAATAATATAAATGTTAGTTAGAGCACCAAAAACATCTACTTGCATCAAGAGATCTTAGTAAATGTGATGTTTTATAAAATTATCCTATATGATTTAACACAATAAATATGTGCCACACAATTATTCATGATTGATTGGGTATCTTCATTTTCACATGAAACCTATGAATTATCTAACATCACATTTTTATTATCAAATGTATACTATCAGTTTTCATCAATTTCAACTTGTTGCACAATGTTACAAAGTTCAGTACAATACACATGCAATTGAAAATCTTACACCATGAAAATTTATCATGGTGTTCAAACAGTTTGTTCACTTGAAACTAGATTCATATAAAACCCAAATGCATTCTTCAAATTTCAAATTAAGCATATCAAATAAGTTAAAATATTTTTTAAATAACATTTTTAAAATTGCATGAATACAATTTAATATTTTAGTAAAATAACATTTGTGCATAAATTAATTAATTAATATGATCAAATTTCAATACAATACACATGCAATTGGAAATCTTACAACATAGATCTATCATGAAGTGTAAACATTTTGTTTACTTGAGACTAGATTTATATAAAACACAAATGCATTATTCAAATTTCAAATTAAGCGTATCAAATTAGCTAAAATATGTGTTAGATAACATTTTAAAAATTGCATGAATATAATTCAATATTTTAGTAAAATAACATTTGTGCATAAATTAATTAGTAAATATGATCAAATAATAATCATTGCTTAAGAAAATATAAATACTATGACATTGTTATATTATATTGCATACATGTTTGATTCATATCATGGTCTAAGAAATTATAAAGTTAAACATAAATTATGCTATATTTAATCTAAAATTATATTTTATGAATTTACTTATTTTGAATGTATATATATATATATATATATACATACATACTTCATAATCATTTGTTGTATATTTCTATGCATCTCAACCAAAATGATTTTTATCATTGCATGTACATTTTTTTTCCAAAATTTTGCATATTGGCACTCAAGTTGTTTGTAGTTTATTTTATGATTTTGTAATAAATCAATTTTAATGAGTTTGATATTTTTTAAATCAGTAATTAACAAAATTATTGTTTACCTCGATGAAAAAATGCAATATAATGCAAATGTGTTTTAATTTATTTTTTGTTTATATTAAAAGGTATGTATGTAAATTATTACAATTGGTAAGTATCAAACACAGAGGTATTTACTTGATGTAAACCCATGGGAATGTAAACTGCTTGATGAAACCCATCAAGTTTTATCCTATGGGACACCACTGACAATACACGTCACACATGTTCTAGTATGAACATACGATGTATTGGCTCTATCACAACGCAATGAAACATGATTGCAACACAATGAAGCTCTGATTGTGAATTCGTGTTGATATCGTTGTTCAATCTGCTAGAATCGATCAATAAGTGTGTGCAAGAATTCAAAATCTACATCTGAATTGGATGATGTTGCTATTCTTTGCGAGGTTGTGAGAGATTAATCTATTTATCACACGCAAGTATATATAACTTCTTGACGTTAAGCGTTAGAGTAATTCATAAAGTCTGATTTCTCAACACTCGTAAAGTTTGGTTCTCAAGCTTTCATGCACTCCCATTATCGTCGTCGTTGATGATTACTATCCGAAATTATTGAGATCTGTTGAAGATATAGTGCCGAGTTCCCCTGCTCCCGACAACATCCATCACATAAACTTGGAATATTGTTTGAGCAAACGCAAATCCTCGCCTTGTATTTGCATTTGCTTCAGAAAATAGAGTATTTTAAATTCTTCTCGATATCGTCTCTGGACATCACATCCGAAGTCCAATATCACTTATTCACTTTGTCATTAGACAATTACGAGCAGCATAGACATGTACTCATTGGCTGCTGCTAGATCTTAGACGCAGTCGACCAACTCGGTTGTAGGGTACAACACCTTAGAATACACACATATTTGTACAAGAACACGTATTAGAACTCACTGACAGGGTGCTCTCGGAGTAGTACTATCGAATGAAACGTAACTTGATAGATCCCATCAAGCAGTTTATGTTTTGATAGCGTCCCATCAAGCAAATATCTCGTCAATCATATCATCATTATGATATGAGCATGTCCATTTTGAATTAATATGTTTGCAAAGCAATATGAGATAAAGAATTATATTATTTCAATTAAATTAATCTCATTGATTCTTATAAAGAAATAATTTCATTAAAAAAAGAAAATTTTCAAATTTTTGTAATGAAATTAATTTTCTTATAATATAAATTTATTTTATTATATTTGATAAAAAATTTATATCATATTTGATAAGACTAAAGATTAGTTATAATTTGAAAAATATAAAAATTAAACTCGTAAAATAGATAGATTTATGACTAATATAAAATAAAGTCTATAAACGAATAAATATTATATATTAAAAATAAATATATAGAATTAAATGAATAATTTAACATATTTTACATAATATTGAATAACAAACAATTTTTATGTCTATGTTAAATATTGCATGAAAAACAAATTATCAAAATTGCTCAAAAGATGATTGATCAAAAATATAATTCTCGTTGTTAATTTAAATATCAAAATAAAATAATAAATTCATATATTAATAAAAATTGTAATATGATCTATAAATTTTCATGCTATTTGTTATTTCATCGTTGAATGATAGATGATATTCACAATGAATCATAAGAATGTTAATATTTGTAGTTTTTTGAAAAAAAAACATGTTAACATTAATGAATATATCATCTGAATAATACAGAAGGAAATAAATTATTCAATTATGAAAAAGTTTGAAAAAATTCTCTTGATACAAACAATTTAACCAAGTTTTTCAAAATATATGCATGTTACATGTTTGTATATTCATATAACAGTTGTAACTTTATTTTTAGAAATTTAGTTTTGAAAATATAAAATTTATGAACGGAATTATTTTTAAAGTGATTGTTAAAATTATTGATTACCTTAAAATAAAATCCACAGTGGAAGTTAAAAAAACAAATGTATGTTTAAATAACCTGAAATTATGCAAAACTGAGGTTAAAAAAGATAATAGGATTTTTTTCCAGATACAAATTCTGTATGGAAAAATATGAAATGCGCATAAAAGTATGTATGGATATTATCAAAAATTTTAGAATAAAAAACTTAAGATAAAATAATCTTTCAACACATCGATAATATTATGCAGACAAAAGAATATGATTATAATAATTTTTTAAATCATTTGAAAATGATAAACGTTTGCTATTTTTTCAAATATTAAAATTAAAAGTATATGATGACTAATAACCACCATGCTTGATTCTTACACTACACTTGATCTTAATTAGATCAAGTGTAGACTTGATCTAATTCCAAGGGATTACAAGAATGTAACCTATGAATTATCAACATTTTATAACAAAACAAAAATCATACATGAACTAAGATTATGATAGTTCCTTAATCAATAAATAAATCATATTTTCCATCTAAGTTGAACCACATGTACATATATTTAAAAAAAACTGAAATGCACGATAAGTTGTTATCGTAGACTTCTAATTTACTTGGTGAAAAAAGATAAAGGAGTTCAAATAATGTCAGGTGGAAATCTTATCTCATATTTCCATTTTAACATTTTAAAAATACATGTTCATAGATCCACATACATATAAAGGATAGTACAATAGCAAATCATAAACCGGGAATATATGAAGTTGTTGACAATCTACAACTGATAAATATAGGTGAGGTATACGTTTTTAATAACAAATATATCCATTCACACTAATCCAAACAAAGAAATTGTTGAATTCCATCCTTTTTTCTTCAGTCTCCAAGTTACCTGGTATGATGATTAGAACACAGATGTAAATTATCTAGACCGAGAAAATTAAATAAGAAGTAGTTAAAGGTTATGACATTATCCTATATTCAATAATCATCAATAATAAGAATGCGACTGGACCGAGTGCAAGAGATATGTTTGAGAAGGAGCCAGCCAGCGGCGTACGAGGTGCATTACGGACACATACGCAGTTGTACAACCTGGAAACTAGACGACAAGTCATGGGAGCCAGTGTAGACGTGTTCATCACAGCCTAGTCTACACGCCCGCCAAACTTGGGAGCAGCTTTAATTTGGAACGAATTTAGAGACGGGCAGAGAGAGTGTTGATCCGCGGCGGGAAAAATGTGTCGCTCGGGCAGCGGGCGGAGGTCGAAGGACCGGTCCAGGATCCGGGAGACTCTTAAAAATCTGTGTAACGGATTGACTCGAGGCATCCGTCTCCGGCCACGTGTCCCGACGAGAAGAGACCATAATCTGTCCGCTCCATCCAGTTCGTGATTCAAAAGAACATCGGGCCGACGGAGATCGCTGACGGAGCGGGGCGATGCGCAGGGATTTGAACCTGGATCCGGCGACGGGGGCAGTGGGGCTGTCAGGCAGTCGGTCAGGACCCAGCGGTCCGCGGGGGCAAGCTTGAAAATGCAATTCCGAGGGGGCGAAAATGGGCCAAAAAGGCGTGCCCTAATTGGGCGCACGCTCCTGGCAACGTGCGAGAGCTTGTGACCGAGAGAGAGAGAGAGGTAGAGAGAGGGAGAGACCGGGCAGGGTCGGGCAGGCGGAGGGAAGGGAGGGGAGGGAGGCCCGGCCGGGAAGGGGAGGGCGAGGGAGGAGGAGTTTTGCCGGGGCGAGGCGAGGGGAAGGATTTTGCGTGGCTCGCTCGCAGTGGCAGAGCGAGAGAGAGCGAGCGAGAGCGAGAGTGCCTCGGCGTTCATCCTCCTCGGGCTTCTCCACCTCCTCCTCCGCCTCTCCCTTCCTCCTTCCCTCTTGCTCTTTATGCTGGCCCTGGTGAGCAAAGGCGATTGTACCCGAGCCCCCGTCGTCGCCCTCCCTCCCCTCGCTCGTTTGCCTTTGCATAGTTGTGCTGCTGCTGCTCGTCTTTTTTCCCGACCTGTGAAGAAGATCGAGGCGGGCAAATTGAACGAAGCGATCGATCGATTGATTGCGAGAGAGAGAGAGAGAGAGAGAAAGTGAGAGAGCGCGAGGGAGAAAAAGAGAGAGACCGCGAGCGAGAGAGTGAGAGTCAGAGAGAGTTAGAGAGTCGAGAGAGATTTATTGTTCTGGTTGCTTTTCTTTTTTGGGCCTGTTGACGATTTCGACTCGAGAGGAGAACCGTGAGACGGCCAAGGCAAGGCGAGGCCAGGCCGGGCAAGGGAAGCGAAGCGAAGTGAAGTGAAGTGAAGGAAGCGTCGGTCGGGTAGAATTGGAAGCGAGGAGGACGCGAGGCAGGAGGGCGGAACAGGAATAATTGAGGATTAGAGAGGACGGCAAGTTGCTCGCTCCGATCGGATAGCAGAGCGGCTTGGCGGTGAGCAGAAATCGACGAGGGAGCCGATACGAAGGCGGTGTACGACTACAGGTGTTTCGGTCTTGCCGGAGTGTCGATGCATGTAGGCTGGAGGGATGCAGAACGACAAGCTTGTTGTCATTTGAGGACGGTCCTGTGGATCTGAAAGGAAACTGAGCTGTGATACGGACTCGGAGAGCTACTGTGAACGGCAAGCCTGCATTGAGGACCAGACATGTTGATTAGATATATGGATCACAGTCGTAGGGAGCCCACAGTTGGATGTAGCTGATAGAGGCAAGAGATTGATCTGCCCAAAAGTCTGCCATTTTCTCTGCTGTGCATGGGAGTATGTCGCTCTTTCGGAGGTTCTTCTACAGGAGGCCACCTGATGGCCTCCTGGAAATCACAGAGCGTGTTTACGGTAATTAACTCCTCGCCAGCTCTGTCTCTGTTCATATTCAGCTTTAAAGCGGCAGTTTAGAGATTCTACATTTGCCCCTGAAAGCGTTAATTGTGTCGGGCAGAACTTTTTGCTAGTTCACTTCTTTCCTGTCGGGAGGAGAGCCTACTTAGCAAGGTGTGCCCCTTCAGAGAACAAGCTCACTGATTGTCCACTCGGCCTTCAGTTGTGCCTTACAGACCTCTCATTTCTTGGGATGACTATCCGAGAAGTCTCATATCACCCCTGTTTATGCACTCCTCTGCCTACATTAGATATGAAATCTACATCTTCAAAATCGTCCCCGCGTGTTCGCGATCCAGAGTCGCTCGCCCCCGAACCGTAGAAAGATTGAACTAGAGGAATTTTGATCGAGGACTTGAGGAAGAGGTTTAGGGCTAGAGGTACTTCAGGTTCAGATGATTGAAATATATGTATATATCCGACGCTTGTTGGATGCGTTGGAGCAGTAAGATATCTGTTTCTCCTTAGCCCAGATTTCGCCGATGCGAGTGTCATGGCCATTCAGATAGGTGAAGCTACGTCAGCACATGTGTTCTAATTCCGTGCGATGCCTGAATAAGTCGTAATGTCGTCAATCTAATGTATTTCGCAAATCGGCTGGGTCTCAATGCAGTGTTCGATTCCTGCTTCTCCACCGATGTCTTCGAGGATGAGACGTACAAAATATACATGCGTCAAATCGCCACACAACTTCACGAGCAGTTCCCCGAATCTTCGTTTCTTGTATTTAACTTCCGGGAGGGCGAGAAGAAAAGCCAACTGACAGAAATACTCTCTCAGTATGACATGACTGTCATGGATTACCCAAGGCAGTACGAGGGATGCCCAATCCTCTCAATGGAAATGATCCACCACTTTCTCCGATCCAGTGACAGTTGGCTATCTTTGGAGGGCCATCAGAACATCGTGTTAATGCACTGTGAACGGGGAGGTTGGCCTCTCCTAGCTTTCATCCTTTCATGTTTCCTTATCTATAGAAAGCTTCACACCGGGGAGGGGAGAACTCTGGACATGCTGCACAGGGAGGCCCCCAAAGGTTTGCTTCAGCTCTTGTCTCCACTTAATCCCATACCTTCTCAACTTCGATATCTGCAGTACGTGGCAAGGAGAAACAATTCGCCAGAGTGGCCTCCACCTGACCGTGCCCTTACTTTAGACTGTCTCATGCTCCGGGTTGTCCCCAGTTTCGATTCTGAAGGAGGATGCCGCCCTTTGGTACGTCTTTATGGAAGGGACCCACATCACAGGGCCACACGCACTACACAAATGTTGTTCTCCCTTTCAAAGAAGAATAAGGCTGTGAGGCACTACCGACAGGTACGCTCATTTTACCTGTCGTCAGTTGTTGATTTCCTGGATCATTTCTTGCAGTTTTTGCCCTTTATTACTCGTATAGTGCCTCGGAGCCGGTTGCGATTGCACATGTTTTCTCGGCGCGAAACTAACGATTCATTTAGTTTGACCATGTCAAGTTCTGCATCCACCTCTCTGAAGGTTTCATGAAGCGTTACGTTGTAAATCCGCAGGTGGACTGCGATGTGGTGAAGATAGATGTAACATGCCCAGTCCAAGGTGATGTTGTATTGGAGTGCATTCATCTGGACAATGAGACTGATAGGGAGGAAATGATGTTTCGCGTAATGTTCAATACCGCCTTCATCCGGTCTAATATTCTGATATTGACCCGCGACGATATTGACATACTATGGAATGCCAAGGAGCGCTTCACCAGAGAGTTTCGAGCCGAGGTCAGTTTCTGTGGAATTGTGGTTTCACCTTCACTATTTTGCTTTTATTTTTTTGTTTTCTAAATTTCATCAGGATCAGCAGTCACAAATCTGTACTGTTTTCGATGGATAACTTGCTTTGAATGCACGTCTTGGAAATAATAGTGATGCCCGTCTTGTTGTTGGGCCTGAATCAAATAGGTGCTTTTCGGAGATGTGGATACTTTTCCCCCTCCAGTGGTGCCAGTGGTACCCCTGGGTGGTGAAGAGAAAGGAGGGTTGCCTATGGAAGCTTTTGCGAGGGTTCAGGAGCTATTCAACAGCGGGACATGGGACGATGGCCATGGAGACGCAGCTCTTCGGTTTTTGCAGCAACAATTTGCAAATGGGTTTCAAGAAAAGTTGGGTCAGCTAGCAAAGGAAATGAATGGTCGAACACCAAGCAAGGTGGTGATACAGCCGGTCGATGACGATTCAGGATCCGAGTCCCCGCCTCGTGCAGCTAAGAAACCAACAATTCCTCAAACGCTGCCTTCACGTCCAGGTACTCATTCACGTCAGGAGAATTACAAGCACTTTTTTTCTTTTTCCCTTCATCTGTGAATTTATAGAAACATGTGCTGCTATTGACCTCAAGTGTCTCCATTTGCAGGTACTGGCGTTGGAGCTCCACCCCCGCCGCCTCCACCACCACCACCTCCTCCACCTCCACCTCCACCTCCTTTCGCGAGGCTTGGAGCTGCTGCACCTCCACCACCACCACCACCACCACCACCACCTCCCCCACCTCCTTTCGCGAGATCTGGCGGCGCTCCTCCACCTCCTCCTCCACCACCCCCACCTTTGAGACCAGGCATGGCGCCTCCTCCTCCACCTCCTCCCCCGCCTCCAAGGCCTGGTGCCCCACCTCCACCACCTCCTCCACCTCCACCGTTGAGACCAGGCATGGCGCCTCCACCCCCACCGCCACCCCCACCTCCAAGACCCGGCGGTGCCCCTCCTCCCCCTCCTCCCCCTCCACCTCCCCGTGTCGGAGCTCCACCTCCACCCCCACCACCACCCCCTCCACCCCCAGGCGGAAGGGCACCACCTCCTCCCCCTCCACCACCACCTGGTGGAAGAGCACCCCCACCCCCACCTCCTCCTCCACCGGGAGGACGAGGTGCTCCTCCTCCTCCTCCACCACCTCCAAAAGGACGAGGTGGACCACCTCCACCTCCTCCTCCACCAGGAGGCAAACTTGGAGGACCTCCACCCCCTCCACCTCCACCTGGTGGACGAGGTAGAGGAGTCCCAGGACCTCCCCCTCCACCTGGTGCTGGTCGGGGTCGTGGTGCTACCTTAGCTCAAGCAGCATCACAGGTGGCTGCCGCACCTCCTCCAGTTGTGAAGAAAGCCACTTTGAAGCCTCTCCATTGGGTGAAAGTAACTCGAGCAGTACAAGGCAGTCTGTGGGCAGAAAATCAAAAGCAAGATGATCAACAAAAGTACGTTTCTTTGGCTTTTCCAGCTAAATGTGTTCGCAGTATTTCCGGTGCTCACATTGTTCTTTCCTCGATGTTCAAGGAGCTTTGCCCATCGCAGTCATTCTTTTTGACAAACGTTTTGAGCTGTTTCTTCCAAGTTATCTGTTTTTCCTTGCGTCTGCTGACGTGTTAGGATTATGGTGTTCATTTAATTTCAGGGCACCTGAAATTGATATGAGTGAGTTGGAAAGCCTGTTTTCCAATGCTGTAGCACCTTCGGCGGGAGGTGATAAGCCTGCGAGATCCCGTGCGAATGCCGCACCGAAGCAAGAGAAAGTTTGCCTGGTAAGAGCTCCAAGCGGATCTTGTTTTAAATGCTAGTGAAGATGACGTGCTTTTCAACGACCGTCTCACCGCGAGATGGAATTATTTTGGTATAAGTTATAACCTGGGCACAGGTACCAGTATATCCGTGTGTAGTACAATGCCATTTCTGTGGTGCTCACAAATAATGGTTAGATTCGATGAGATTATTGACTATCATGTGAATCGTCTGTAGGTCGATCATCGGAGAGCCAACAACTGCGAAATTATGTTGACGAAGATAAAGATGCCAATGTCGGATGTGCTTGTAAGTTCTTCAAAAAGTACATGCTTCCTGCTTCTTTACGTCAACAGTGTTGCTTCTTTTCTTCCCATGACGATCGTATTGCGTGCTTTGTGCTTGTATACACATCCCGCAGCTTTCTTTTGGTTGCCGCGGCTGTGTTTCCATTGTGATTGGTCTGGCATCGAGATTTTTTTTTCCCTTGCTTTACCTCCTCAGTTTTTATTGTATAATAAAGTACGAACTCTTCTGACCTTTCTTGGATATGATGTCAGAATGCAATTTTGAACCTGGACGACACGGTCCTGGACATGGACCAGGTGGAAAATCTTATCAAGTTTTGTCCGACAAAGGAAGAAATGGACTTGTTGAAGGTACATGAGACTCAAATCCAATGCCTACAGTTTGTTAGTGCTGAGTGGTTCTGTAGTTTCTTATAGGGAACTTAGCATTGAAGCAGCTGCATTACTGAAATGTTCTTCATAGTATCATTTACAAAGTTGCCATTCTGTCAGTGTATGTCGTATGGTCAAACAATTTTTACACTGGTATTGGTGTGCGATTTGTCCTTTGAAGAAAGAGTCGATCTTGCTTCTCACGTGTGTACGTCATGCGCAGAGTTACCCTGGTGAGAAAGAAAACCTAGGAAAGGCTGATCAGGTGTGTAGGTCTTACCAATTCATCTCGCAGTCGTCGGTCCAATCTCGGTTATGTGTCTGTCGTAAGTCATTTTTATTAGTTGGATTAGGAGGCTACATGTACTTACAAATAGTAACCGATTTGCTTTTACGGTGCAGTTTTTCCTTGAGATGATGCGATTACCAAGGATGGAGGCCAAGTTAAGCGTTTTTGCATTCAAAATTCAATTCCAAATTCTGGTGAGATACTTCATATGTCGGTCCGTGCTCCTCTAGAAGAAGTTTGCATTCGGTTGTAGGAAGTCTATATTTATTTATTTTGTTGGAGCTAAATTCTGGATCTGCTGGTTCAATAGGTAGCCGAATTGCGGCAACATTTGGAAACTGTAAATGCGGCGTCTCGAGAGGTAGGCTTATCATGAGCTGGTTCCGTTACAGTTGTGAAGTTTCTTACTGGTTAAGCTTCCGACGGGACTTGCTCGAGAATTCCCGTGTTTGTTTTGAGCCACTGAGCGATAAGTTTGGTTTACCTTCAGGTGAGGGAGTCTGTCAAGCTGCGGCGGGTCATGCAAACCATTCTCTCTCTAGGAAATGCTCTGAATCAAGGCACTGCTCGTGGTAAGTTTCACTTTGCAAGTTTTGGAAATGAGCTTTTTTTAGTGCAGCTTTCAGTTTGGGACAGGGTTTAAGGACAGTTTAGGACAGTTTATGTCAAAGCTTAAGTATATTTGTTTGATTTGTTGCAGGTTCTGCCATTGGCTTCAAGCTGGACAGTCTGTTGAAGCTCACAGATACCCGTGCCCGCAACACTAAAATGACCTTGATGCACTATCTTTGCAAGGTCTGAGTTGCAAGCCTTCTGGAGAAGTGTTTTATGCTTTGTATTTAAATTGGCACTTTGATCCTGAATGTGCCACCCTTACACCTGCAGGTCTAAGGGTTCGTTGAATATTCTGAAGGTGAACACACGTGAGAGAAGCGTGGATGACCTGCAAGCCATTTACCTTGTGAAGATTCTAGCTTTGTAGACGCTAAGTTATTGTGTTATTGTGTTTTCCAGGTGCTTTCGGAGAAGTTGGCGGAGCTGTTGGACTTTCACAAAGATCTTGTCCACTTGGAGGGTGCTTCCAAGGTATTCTCACTTTTTTCGTTGAGCCCGTTTATCTAGGATCTCCGTCGAAAAGACTGCTCGTTTGGTGATTGAAATCTGGATATATTGACCTCACTTGAGGAAAACGATCTATTCGAACATCTCATACCCTGTCTCCTAGACCCCCATGAGACCGATTGGACTTTTTGGTTTTCCTAACGAATATGTCCTCGCAGGTCCAACTAAAGCAAATGGCTGAAGATATGTCACAAGTGAGCAAAGGTCTAGAAAGAGTGGAGCAGGAACTGGCGTCTTCAGAAAACGATGGTCCAATATCGGACTGTTTCCGAGCGGTATGTGAACTGTACTTAATTTTTAACTGTCAAAATTTTGAGCGCTAACCTACCTGTTGCGATGAGCTCGTGTGCACCTTTTTGGAAAGTGCATGTAGTGCCCTTTGTCCTGATAAGAGAAATTGAAGAAAAATGTATTTTGCCAGGTTTCGAAGAAATTTCTGTCAGGTGCCGAAGCGGAAGGAAGGTCATTGACCTCCCTCTATGCGGAAGTGGTAAGTCCACTCGAGGATCTGTGAGCGTTCAGGAATATGACTTACGTCAAAATCTTGAATATATTCGAACGATGTATGCTCTTGAAATTCTGTCATGGGAAGATTTACAATGTTGTGATTGCAGACAAAATGCTTGAGTTCTTTCTTATCTAGTATACGTGGGCCTTCCAGGGGAGAAATGCTGATTCGCTGGCGCAGTATTTTGGTGAAGATCCTGCGCGCTGTCCATTTGAACAAGGTAGGACTTTCAGATTTTTTTGATGAATTTTCTTGTTCTTGGTTTGCAGACATAGAAATTGAACTCGTTAAACACATCTTGGTGACTCACTTTATATTCTCACTCCGAGTCTTCTCTGTTGCATTTTGTTCATTGCCCGCAGTTATTTCTATCCTCTTGAACTTCGTAACTATGTTCAAGCGGGCTCTCGATGACAACATTAAAGCAGCTGAAATGGAAAAGAAGAGGGCCGAGAAAGAAGCTGAGAAAGAGAAGATGAAAAACTCGCCAGGCAGCGCCAAAAAAGCTGATAATGATTCTTTGATTGCCAAGCTGACAAGCAGAAGCATGGGAGCAAACCAGGATACTTGAGGGAGGCGTTCTAACAGAGATAGACCAGAGAGGAGAGGAAAGGAGAGACCTAGGAGAGAGATCCTTTTACCACTAGCCTGTAAATTTTGAAACTACAGTGACGGTGCCGTCGTTTTTACCAGTAGTGAAGTCCCAACCACTTATGACTCTGAAAGACCAACTTTCGTCAGATGAAGATCTGTTGGCCTCAAAGCAAGCAGTTCCGGGTGTCTTCCTTCACATTTATGTTGTAAACACCCGGTAAAGTGTTCTACAATACTACCAAGGCAGCAGACTAATATCTGTTACACGTCACCCGATACACTTCATCTGTACCCTACCCTACCCTACCCAGATTGCTATTTGACTTTTTCACCAGACTAAGATTTTGAGCTTGACCGAGTGTCATGTACAAATACAATAGACACACAAGCTAGGTACTCCCACTGAAAGTTCCGCTTCAACCAAGAGGTTCCTTCGGTGAGGTCTCTTGTAGCAGCTGATACACCATTAGATGGACACAGGTGTCCTGGACACCGAGGATTTCATACTTATTCAAAGGCAACCATATTTTTTTTCAGGTACTCTTCATCCTCTCCCAGGTCGGTATATTTGTTTCTCCATGAGTACCAGTTAATATCAGTCCATGCAGTATTTGTGCCATACACATCTTGTATTCTAGCCATTCGGGCAATTTGTAAGCCTCCCCAGATTTATTTTTTTTTCACTCAAATTTCAACTATTATCTTACTTACATTTGTCGTCAGTGTCTGGACATATTGAAGCTTTGAGAAGATTTGTCAGTATATAGCATGAACCGGAATATCAAGAAACGTGGGTAGTTTTTCTTAGTACTCATGTAACTCTTGTGAAAAGCAACTACCACATTTGTAGAGGTGTGAAATGCTAATAAACCACCCAACTTACTCTTGTCAAACAGATGTAATGTATGTGTAATACTTTTCTGAGAAATTGATCGAATGGCGGCCGATGAATTTAACTACATCTATTATTCGCCCAGTAGACAATGACCTGCGGACAGGCCTGTCGTTGTCAGAAGCTTCCTAATGTGAAGATCAAAGTTGTGAAGTTTAAACCAGTGACTAGAATGATGGAATTTCCACTGCGTTGAGTGAGTCGGCTATCTATTTCAGGACCTTTGATTTGATGGCCCTCAGATAGGCTTAAGTCCAACGCAGACAACTTCCTCCGAGGTTTCAATGCATGTTGGTTGTTGTATGTAATGGGAATATGTTTATGTAGATTACGTTCCAATTTAATGTGGCTCTACATCAAACGTTGCGCGCATATATATTCTTGAGATGTTGGTATTCTCGCAGGCTTGCTTCTGAATGGTATCAACGTGTTTGGATATGGAGAAGTGGCCTCTGGAAGTATGACAACAAACTCACAGAGTTGCTACCACAAGTCAAGCGACAGGCATGATTTCTCTATTGTTGACTCAAGCACGGTTGACAGGCGCATACCTATTTACAATTGATATCTTGCTCTCCTATAATCTGGGAATAGCGAAGTGAAGGTGCCACGTCTGCTCTCCAGTTAGAAACTTCTGAGTGAATGAGATGGAGAAGCCTACTTAGTGCTCTGAAGCGTATCTTGAGACAATTGTTTGTAAGAATTAGCCATCTCATACTGTTTCAAATAAAGTCAATGGATACATCAATTATCTTATGAGAGAAGAGCATGGAAAGGCTCAGACTGAGGACTGCAGTGGTGAATAGTCAAGACATGCGGTTCTTATGCGGTAGATGTCTACACTGTCAAGCTTGGCGTCACACCTTTGTGTACATTTTTACTCGTTGGCTGGGTTGTATGTATCAGTTTATTGGATTAATTAAACTGCTGATTAGCAGTAGGGCAATGAGTCCCCGTGTTTTACTGTTCCATTTTCAAGGTCTCCTAGGTATACGATCAAATTCATACTCCACGAGAAGTTCACACAGCCATCATTTCGTTCCCTCCAATCCTCCAGTGTCTAACTTCCTTTGCTGCATTGTATTGTGCGTGATCCAACATTATTTTGCACCTCTTGTTAAAATTCCTGACCTCTCGTCATCGTATTTGGGGACTTATTTATGCCCTGAAACTCTCTTTTTGTTCACCTTAGACCTGAGCTTTCCTTTGTTTCTTTGCATTTTCTTTTATGGTGCGAGCGGTGAACTCCTGTATATAGTGTCAGAAGTAAAAGAGGAGTCTTACTTCGCTTCTATGGATGCATCCGATGTCAGTGGTTGTATTAATCTGAGACCCTAGTTAGTCGCCATCACTGGCCACAACCGAAAATTACATTGCTGGGTAGAGCACTTGAGTACTCGTCTTTTTCTCGTAGCAACGTGATAACGTGGAAGTAAAGTATTTGTCGTTTTGTCCAATGTAAGTAGCAGGCAAGCTTCTGCTCATGTATACGTGCTATCAAGGCACATCATTGAAGGCAACATGCGAGGTTCATTGAAGTCTGGCGTAGTATACAGGGTCTGGAGTGTGTGGAGTGAACCATCGTGAAACTCAGATCTACTACCGCGTGTAATGGAGGATGATGTTAGATGATGATTTAGTTGATGTTAGATGATCAATTCAGTTGTTGGCTGGTTTTCGGAATTGACTGCACATCAGTATATAACTGTCATTAGCTCTGATTGTCGAGCCGGTGATGATGCAGTATTGAAGGGACTGAAGAATTTTGAGTTGCAATTGCCATGTCTACTGATAATTTTTGGTAAATTTATTGTCGATAGTCGCTTTGTACTTGGCAGCAGTGTAGACGTATAATGGCTAGATCTGCTTATTCCTCGAACGTACAGGCCTTCACATATAACTGCCCACGGCTTGCCTAGCAAATATGAATTATATATGCTCCAGTACATCAATCGAATTTGACTACTAATGAGCAACGGTCCACGACTAGGTATACTTTGTTGGCACATATGTAGTCTACTTTCAACAATTAGTAGTTCGTTGCTATGTGTGCTTTCGCCAGCTTTGTACGGTGATCCCTTTTAATGTCGCTGCCCCCGTGACCTATGTAGACAATATTTAACTCTAGCAACAACTAAAGATGAATTGCCCATAAAAAGCCACAACCGGGCGTGAGTGAATCCAATTTGGAGTGACATATCTATGTACCGAATATGTGGGGCCAAAGGCAGTACTAGCAACCAGCATATGCCGAAAGTCTTGCATCACCAGTCTGAAGGGCCTTCCACAAAGCCCAATGCTCGTCTGTTGTGCTTTGATGTAAGTTGGGGAATTTCACTTGAGTTCTATGTCAAAGTTTCTTGAATATAACTCGTTATAAAATTGTAAGTTTCTCACCGGCTGTCTGTCTAAGACACCTTAATGTCTTCCAATTGGCTGTGGATATAGTAACGTACCTAATCATTACCGTCAGACTTGCATTATCACCCTCCGACAGATCTGGTACTAGGTGAACTAAGCTGAAATTTATTTTATAATTCTCGAAGCAGTGCTCTTTACAAGATTCGAACCAGTTGATTTATACTGAGCTTTCGATACGATAAAGATGCACGCTCGCTGAGATACTCTCCTCTCTACATCAGAATTTTTCTCATGGGGTGACACATTATTTAAAGATGCACGGTAACATGTAGATGGCTATATATGTCGGATGTAGCTGAGGATTTGCTTGCCACTAAACTTCATCCAGCCCCTCGCCCGCTGAACATGACATTCTCTACGTTTGAACTGAATGATGCTCCGACAATGCGAAGAAGATGCCCAGATCCTCGACCTGAATGAAATGGGGATCACTTGTTAGGAGATTTAGCTGGTTAACAATGTCCTGAGTTACGACAACTTCAATTCTTGAAAAGTAGACCAGCTGATGTAACTTCTACATCATTATAAGTGTTTGACAGTTATAGAACTGATTGACGGAAAAATCCAATTAAAACCATGCTTGGATATTGTACTCACTTCATGTTTCCTATTTCGGCTCAGAAAATAATATCTCAAGTGCAAGTGGGGAATCGCATTAAATTTATACATATAATTCGTCCATTACTCATACTGCCAAGGAGGTAAAGTCATGGGAAGTTCCTTTAGCTGCATGTTGCACATTCAGTTCTACTTTGTCTTACACTCAATAGATTTTAATGTCTGCACAAGTGCACATATAAAATGTTTCATCCGTAAATACCATGTCCTGATCAGTAGGTATGGACAAGTGATTGTGTATTGGTTTTGGAACCAAGCCATAAAACTCCAGTTGATCGGCGTTTACCGCATGATAACGCAAGCGTATAAAATAAATTGTAGCCTTATCGACACCCAAGTGTATAAACTTGGCCACGTGGGTTAAAAAAGAAGATAATAACGAACAAGAAATTATAGCCACTCCAGTAATCTTTTCTATAACGCTTTTCTAAACTAAGCCCAAATAAAACAAAGACTTGAAAGAAGTCCAAATATACCAAACAAAATAAAGCGACAATGGTGGTCTTTTCGAAGAGTCATATAATTCTAGAGACAGTTAAAGAACCAAGTAAGACATGTTAAAGCGCCGAACAATCAAATTACTGAAACCAAAAAGACAAAAATATAAGGTGGGATTGTAGTGGCAAAACCAAAAGTGTACAAATGTGCAGAGTTGAACAAAAATAAAAAAATAAATGATCATACTCTTGCTTTGTGGTCATACATAATGTAGAAGCAAGTTAATTTGAGTTGAAACCGTTTCAATCTTTACAAGAAGTATACAAAACGTGTAAGTCAGTTATGGTACTGAAGCACAAGTTGTGCAATAGTTGATGGGCAAAAAGATGGCAGTAACGTGCATGATGTAGTACCTGATAAACCTTTTCAGTGTGTACTAAGCAAGGTTCATAATTTGTGCTTGATTCAGTACCTCCCTGAATGTTGATTTTGAGTCGTATTCACTTGTTGTACTTCTGCATAACATGATAGAAGTTCTTTAATTTTTGACTTCATGGGTCCCTCCATCCTTTCCACTATGTTGGAATTCACCTTTCACGTAAGACAAAATTCCAATTGTCTTCCTTGTAGTGGAAATAATAAACCTTGAGACTGTACTACATTGTCAGTACCAATAAATAATTCCAGCTTGTTCACTGGCTCCTGCTGGTATCTACAAGCATAAGTTGAACGTGTTAAGCTAGGCAGAGAAATGAATAAATGTACATGTAAAATCAATGGCTTCACTTGTTTCATGTGTACATTACCAAATATACATATTGGTACCATGAATATGTGAAGTCAATGCATGTACCAACGGTGATTCTCAATCACAGACGTATGAAAAGGTTGTAACATATATTACTTTCTTTTCCAAACGACGAAACTTTGTAAAGAGTGAAGAAAGATAAAGGAAAGAAAACGGTCTAAAATCATGTCGAAAATCGAAACTTTGATCTATTTATTGGGCAGGAGGGAGGTCCATTCTAGAACGTATTACATAATTCAGCATTTGATTTCTTATGACGAAGGAGGCATCAGGCGGAGCAAAATCATTTTCTGCAAGGAAACCAGATCATGGTGTCTACCCTAAACAAAACATCTTCACTGGGAGACATAGATCATGAAAATGATGAATACTCGAATCAAGGCCTGGAAATGTATCAAAGCCTTGGCTCCCTACAAGTCCAACAATTTCTGTGCTTCCGAGCCTCATGATGGAGCTGGAAGAGCTCCATGCCTGACTCTCTCGTGTACTTGGAAGTAAAGTGTGCGCATTGTTTCAATTCAAGAACATGCGAAAGTGTCGTTGGACGGTGTGGTGAAATTGTGCCAAGTTAGAGGGAGCTCAGCTCGTTCGAGCCAATCGCCGGATTTATGCACGTCTTTGAGCATAATGAATTCAATCTAATATCAGCGATGGAAATGGTGGCTCAGGTTTGTCGGTGGTGGAATTGTCCACGCGAATGCGTCTTTTCTAGCGATGAAGGAATTTGAGGCGGGTCAAGAAGCAAGGAACGATCGAAGGAGTCAAGGAATGAACAGAAAGGTTGATATGGCTGATGGATGCAAGCCTCTGATGAGGAAGGGAGGCGCCGGAGCAAGGCCCTGCGAGGAAGAAAGGAGCAGGGGCCCTGTGCAGAGGGCCGAATAAAGTAAGAGCATGACTTCATCGCTTGTCCATTGTCCACTTGTCTTTCGGTCGTTCGAAGCAGCCCCGGCCCTTGCTGGGGCTGGGCGAGTCGATGTGCAAGATGACTAATCATCATTCGTCCTCGTCTCTCTTTTCCGACAGCCGCGGAAGGAGAGGTTTTCACGCTTGATTGTCGGCGCATCGTTTCTGGGCCTGAAAATCAGGTCTCTTGATCTCTCGCCGAAGCTGGAAGCAATAATTGGAAAGTCGCTTCTTCTTCTTCTTCTTCTTCTTCTTCTTCTTCTTCTTCTCATACGGAGTTTCCACGAGATGCATCATGCTCGAGCGTCAATTGTAAATTATCGTGAATTCTTGTAAATTTCGGAAATTCTCGGAGGGACGCTGAGCTGTTTCTCTTTTCTCCGCCTTCTTCCCTTTCGGATGGCGACCATCTTGGCTCTAGGCTAGTCGGGGAGGTTGCATGGAATATGAACTTTCTAGAGCAGACGCTGCTGACTTCACAGTTCCATGTCGACTCAAGTGCTCTGAGTCCTGTTTGTTCCACAGGAGGGTTGGGATGTTCAAGCGGACGGTCTTTAAGAGAATCCAAGGAAGGATTGTTCTGTTAAGACGATGCGCGTCATGTAATTTGTCGAGCTGCTTTTGGAGCGATCGAGAGGCGGCATAATGGCGATGTGCGAGGGCCGAATTGTCACAATCTTGTTGGGGTTCTTGGCTCTGTCATCGATAGCGTTCACGCACGTGCTTGCCAAAGAGTGCACTAATATACCAACGCAGTCATCCCACACGCTGCGAGCTCTCGCGTTCCAAAAAAATGCTTCCTACTCCAGAGAGTCAGATGAAAGGGGCAATTTTGCCTCGCACCTCTTGTTGCGTAAACATGCAGGGAGCATACAATCAGTCAGTGAACGACATAGACAATTCGGATACCGCTCGCCGAGGCTGGAAGGGATTGGATCGTTTCAACAACCTGCTCTGAGGGAAGTCTCTCTGCACCGTGTCACGCTAGACGCCGAGTGTGATGAAGGCAGAGCACAGGAGACAAATCTTCGGTATCTTCTGTCGCTGGATGTGGACCGTCTCGTTTGGTCTTTTCGGACAAATGCTGGTCTGCCAGCTCCTGGCACAGCTTACGGAGGTTGGGAGACTCCCGGGCAGGAGCTTCGAGGCCACTTCGTCGGTAAGGAGTAATTGTACCAGTGCAAGCATGCAATTTTTGTTTGATTCTTTTCGGCACCTTATAAAAGTTCAGACCTCTGTCTCTAACTCATTCTTTCGCTATATCTCGATTTTTAGCTTTACAGCTTAAGCTGTTGATTCGTTGCAGATTGTGAATTTGCCATTCAGTGGCCCACAAATGACAGGAATGCGTTGGATTTGTTCCAGGGCATTATCTGAGTGCAACAGCATTGATGTGGGCAAGTACTCATAACACGAGCATCCTAGAGAAAATGTACTCGTTGGTGGATGCTCTGGAAGAGTGCCAGGTGAAAATGGGAACAGGCTATCTATCTGCCTTCCCTTCGACCTTTTTCGATCGGTTCGAAGCCATCGAACCGGTGTGGGCGCCATACTACACAATTCACAAGGTTTGGGTCTTGGCAGAAATTGGACTGCATCATCAGAAATTGGATCAGCAACACTCACGACAAATCTGAACATTATCTCCCGCTATCTTACTCTTTGTTTTTGTGATGTTTGTAGATCATGGCAGGACTTCTAGACCAGTACACTCTGGGGGAAAACCAGAAAGCCCTGGATATGCTGGTTTGGATGGCCAAATACTTTTTGTCAAGGGTTGAGGCAGTAATCGAGAATCACACAATCGAGAGGCACTGGACCTCCTTAAACGAAGAAGTTGGAGGCATGAATGATGTCATGTACCGCCTGTACATGCTGACGGTAGCCTCCACATGTCATTCTTGGCCCCGAAGTTTAGGATTACATAACTGAAAATTGTGTCAACTGGATTGTCAGAATTAACTTTGTCACAGCTTATGAGTATTACAAATCTCTACTCTATTCGGCATATTATGTTAATACATGTGGTATAAACATCACAAAGTCTCATCACGTTCTGCTGACAAATGGTCTGTAGGAAGATCCGGAGCACTTGAAGTTGGCCCATTTGTTTGACAAGCCTTGTTTTTTGGGTCCGCTAGCTTTGAAGGTACTTCCCATTCCCAAAACTTGTTAACATCGGAAAAGGACTGTTCATGCTCTTTGACGTCCCTTCCTATTTATGTCCATTATTTTCTTTCTTTCGGTATGACAGGTCACTCGATGCTGACAAATGGTATGGAATCGATTGAAATTATCTGATTGGTACTTTTTTTTCAATCGTTCGTGCAGACCGATGGCCTATCTGGGTTCCACGCGAATACACATATACCTCTTGTTGTCGGAGCTCAGATGAGATATGAAAGTACTGGGGACAAGTTGTATAAGGTAGTCGTTTGACAGTGGCCCTGCGCATTGATTTCGGTACCTTTGATGGATTAAAATGCTGTATATGTGTTGTGGTATGCCAGTCTTGTGTCCTTTTGGAAGTCGATATATTGTTTGGGTACTGAACATTTCTTTTCAACCGCTATTCTCGGGACGAGATTCACGACTTTCAAATGCCTTTTTTTCATCAAGTATTTGGACTTGCTATCAGACATTGACTGCTCTTTGAGCTGTTCGTTCGTTTGCAGGAGATCGCAGAGTATTTTATGGAAGTTATAAACACGACCCACCGTTACGCCACCGGTGGAACCTCTTCGGGAGAATTTTGGTAAGCCGAGCACTCATCTAAAGTTTGATTCGCCAGTTACTTCTAGGCGAAAGCCTAGAAGTATCTCCTAGAAGTATTTCATATCTCCACTTGCACCGCAAATGTTAGAAGCACCAGCCATCTTTATCTTTGGCTTGGAATTCTACAGGTCTAATCCCCACCGGCAGGGCCACCTACTGACAACCGAAACTCAGGAGAGTTGTACCACTTACAACATTCTGAAAGTAAGATCACAATTATGCTTTCGCAATAATACCACTACGTCAAGTTCCTGAGCTTGTCAACTGCTGATATTGGCATGAGTGTCTGTTTTCGCCCGTTATTCACATGCAGCTTCTCCCGCAGATTGCGAGAAATTTGTACCGATGGACGAAAGACGTAAGTTATGCCGAGTACTATGAGCGGGCCCTTGTCAACGGCGTACTTGGGATACAACGAGGAGAGGAGCCTGGAGTCATGATATATATGCTTCCCGAGTTGCCGGGCTCTTCGAAAGCATTATCATATCATGGATGGGGTACTCCTTTCGATTCGATGTGGTGCTGCTACGGAACGGGTATTGCCGACATACTGCACTTTCTCAAGCAAATGTTGCATTTGTTGCACTATATAAACGGATCAGTGGGTTTGATCAAGTGCGTTTTTAAAATGTGTCGACACGATAGACTGTTTTCACCTTTCAGTGACCTACTACTTAGTGAAATTATATATATATATATATATATATATATATATATATATATATATATGTGGGTTGCTGTAACAGTGGTGATGACCTCGTCCTTCAAGTACAGTATTAACGCGGTGACATTACCACCAATGCAGGAATTGAGTCTTTCTCGAAGTTGGGAGATTCGATCTACTTCGAAGACGGGAATGACGAGCTCTATGTTATGCGATTCGCTTCAAGTTCTCTCTTATGGACTTCGGCTGGATTACTGCTCAAACAGAAAGTTCATCTTTTGACATCAGAAGACCAAAGTCTGAGAGTTACTTTTGAGTTCAAATTCCTTCCAGAGGTTCGTCGCAGTCCAGAGTTCATCTGACCTCAACATCAAAACTTCATTAATGTTTTTCATTGTTGGTATTTTTTTCTGATCATTTTGTTCTTAGAGATTCTCCAAATGAGTTGCCTGTTTTATATGAAAGGGCAGATAGTGGCAGTGATATAATTGCTGAAATTGTTGAAGTGATCATCTTTAGCAGGGTGGATTTGGTAAGAAGTCACGTCTATCTGTGAGAATTCCTTCCTGGGCGACTCCACGGTTTCTTCATGTGAAACTGAATGGACGGTCTTCCTTTCAGGATGCCAGACCAGGTACATACGACTGATGTTTTCTCCCTATGTGATAAATCAGTGGAACTTTAATGCTTTTGCACGTCCCATATACGGTCACTGTAGCTCACCACTATGTACAATTAGTAAGGCGTTCACAATTTCGGTGCTTCTCCTCTGTTTATCACAATCCGCCGTTAACTGGCTTCATTTCACAGGGAGCTACTTGACCTTCTCCAGATCGTGGAAAGTGGGAGACAGGCTGGAGATCGAGGTACCTGTCAGTTTGACGATTGAGAGGGTTCAAGGTAATATCCATTGTCTTTCATCACGGAATATTCTTAAGTTTACGAATTGAAACGACATTAACAAAAGTGAGAATTACTTTCTGAACCTGCAGATGATCGTCAAGAGTTCTCCTCACTTCATGCAATCTTATATGGTCCTTATGTTTTAGCCGGTATGACGGATGGAGATAATGAGCTTGGAAATGTGGATAGTAGCTCGTTGGCTTCCTGGTTGGTTCCAGTCCCAGTGTCATTTAATGACCAGCTTTACAGTTTCAGTCAACGCGCTGAGCACAATATCGAAGCAGAATGGAGTGGAAAGACATCCCAAATTCCTAATAAATGGAATTCATTTGTAAGTGAAAGAAATGGATCAGTGGAGATGAAGTCGGCACCACAAGAAGGCACCAATGAAGCAGCTTCGTCAACATTTCGAGTTCTTGAAATATCACAAGCATCTGCAAAGAATCATCTTCACAAATCATACCTCTCGAACCCCGAAGACAGTTACATACACAGGTCAGAGGAAGCCGATGTTGATCAGACTGGAAAATCAAGTTCCAACTTCCCTATCATGTTTGGATTGATCGCCCTTGAACCTTACAGCAAACCTGGAAAGGTTCTGGCTCACAACGGACCAGACAGCAAGATAGTGGTTCTGGACAGGATCGATAACTTGAACCATCATGTTCAGCAGATCAATGCAGAGTTCAGAATTATACCTGGTTTATCGGGTGATGAAAACAGCATTTCATTTGAAGCAGAGAGCGACCCGGGCTGCTTCATAACCACTTGTGCAGATCACAGTGCTACACTTCGATGCAAGAAGGAGAAAGCTGAAGATGCAACGTTTGATCCCACAGCCAGCTTCACGGTGACGAAAGGTCTAGCTTCGTATCACCGCATGAGTTTCTTTGCTGTAGCGGAGAACAGTCAGTATTTGCTCTTTCCCATTTATGCCTACAGAGATGAGAAGTACACCATGTACTTCAATTTTACCAACATGGTGTGACATAAACCAGCTACAAATATATCTGCAAGAGCGACCACGACAGTTCTTTTCTCATTGTAAAATATCTCTCATGTACCATTAATCTTAATGTTGGTCACCATAGATTTGGTCACTGAAGGAGGACTGGCATTTAAGATCAAGTGTAACTACGTGAGGCAGGCCCACAACGGACCTGGGAGCCTCACAAACATCAGGGATTTAGGTTTATGTGCTGAAAGTCCTACAAAGTTGGTCTTAGATTGCAGTCAGGAAGAATACAGATGTAAACAACTTTTGTCTAATCAATCTAAGTTATTGTTATGTGATCAAGAGCGAAGACTACGGCACTCCCACCTTGATTATCGAGAAGATGATCCCATTCGTCATGTTTTGGGCATGAAGTACTTTGTCATGTCTTAGTCTTTGCGTCCTGAAGTCCACAGTAAAACGGTTCAGCGTATTTTAGGTTAACTAGATTATGTAAGGGAATACATGCATTTCTGATTTCTGAGAGTATTTTTTCATATTTCGAAATTTAACCTTTATTACTAATTGCCAAATAGATGATCAGTTCCAATTATTCACATGTTGATGGGCACTGAACATGAAATTTTGAGCTGGGTTGTGAATCCTAAAATAGTTAAGCACGGAAGTGCAGAAGACCAATCTGGTGAATAGAGTCGGACGTTAATTATGCCTTATATTGGAAAAGTGCAAACTTTGTGAGGAGGTAACATGACAACACTAGAGTATTATATCATATTATCTCCTTACAAAATCTGCACTTTTCAAATGTTTTCCTTACAAAGTCTGCACTTGATATGACTATTGAATCAAGATATATTATCCAAACATTGTAGTATGTGCAGTCAACAGTATACCCTATGTATAGCCGTAGAACATGAGGTTACTGAAATTATTTACTCTTACATATTTTAACTAGCTCAGTTAAGAGATAAAATGCTATGATAGCATCATGCTGCTACAGGAATCGCTGAAAGATATAGATCAGTGTATGTAGTAAAAATCTAGATTGTAAAATCTAGAGCTGAAGAATGAAGAGTGAATTACCGCACAAAACATGTATATCATTTGTTTGGCAAGTTTTGGGAAGTATGTCTACGGTGGTTGTTGCAAAATTGATGATATTGGGGTCGGCTCGGTTGTAATGAAAAAGACAGAACCTTGAATTTTTTTGAGAGTTTTAATTAACATGGCGTTCGTGAACTTTTTTCCATAAACTCATGAGCAAAATAGTGCAGCAGAAGAGAAGTAAGCAGCTGTATTGGTTGAATGTCCATCATCTGAAATTAAGTTCGTAAACTTTTTTTCGGTGATGGAATGGTACCATCAAAAACCATGGTTGCTTTGAAGTTATTTACACACTTTAGATTAACACTGAATGGTTACATATGGTTAATCTAAACCAAATCAAGAGGTTATCCATTAGACAAGGTTAAAATTAGTACTAGAGATTGCAATAGTTGGAAAGTGTTAAGTTTGAAAGAGTATTCCCAGACGTTCACTTAGATACAAACATCCAATAGAATAGAATGTGGTTAGGTTTAGGCTCCACTTAGATGAACCACATGTTTTCTGCAGTTCTTCTAAGTGGAGCTACATCTGCTGGAACTAGGGCTCCGATCGGGTTTGGGTAAAAACCTAAAACCCGAGTTTGGATCGGATCGGGTTGAGGGATGTACCAAACCCGAAAACTAGTAAAGCAACGAAAGATAAAAGCTCAGCTGCAAGCCCAACTGTTCCGTTGTAGTCTGCATCTCGCTCGATGCGATGCACCACCCGCTCCCTTGCTTCTGCGTCTAGCTGGGCCGCGCTACGCTACCTATTTTGCTGTTCATCCTGACTCCAAAAATCTTAATTTTCAGAGTTTAAAGTTAATTAAAACTCTCAAAATTTTTCAAGGTTAAATTTTTTCGGTTTGGAAATTTTTTGGTTGTAATGTAAAACTAATTTGAAGAGTTTTAATTAAATTCCATTAAATGATAAAGTTGGTGGCGTGGAAGAAAGCCATATTACAAGTAGTGCATCAAAAGTATCATTCAGATGGATGGCCCAAGGTTCAGAGTGGAGAAGTTTGATGGTCAAACAGACTATTTCTGATGGGAACACAAGATGATCAACATCATTCTGAAGATGGGATTGGAGAATTATGTACTCAAAGTTCAAACGAATCATGTAAGCGATGAAGATTGGTGTGACCTATAGGTAGGCAAAAATTACTAAATCCCAAGACCATGTTAATTACCAATTCAATAATTTGATTATGGACTTGCAAACCTTGGAAAAGATGTTCGTGACTCATCGTTGGGATCACATCAATCACCTGTAGTGACGAATTATCATTCTTCGTGATAATCACAAGCGAGAGCCAATCGTGTGCATTCTCTTCTCCCAATGGAATGTGATTATAATCATGCTCATTGGCTCCAATTTGATACATTTTGCTCGACTCACGACGACTATTAATGCCTCTGCCATATCTAGACTACATTCGGGATGATCACTCCGAGCTTCAGTACTGACAAGATCCCACTCTGCTGTGACTCTCTCCACGCCTTCAATGGACGAAGGTTGCAGTATTCCACTGATACAAACGAGAATCCCCAGACCAGCAGCTCATGGATCTTATTTCGTACAATTGACACCTTACTGATCTCTATCGAGGTCTATTTTTATTACAGTGAGATGGACATCCCAAAAACCGACTCATATATTTTGCAATATTATAACCTGTGGCAAAGCACGGAATAAAGAGTTCACAACAAACCACAGAGAACCTGGAGAAGAGAAAGGTACGATTAAGGCGAGAGGGGGTGGGTCCCAACCCAAAAGCAAAGGAACCAAGGACATGAAGGAGAGAGAAGATTTGCAGCATGGAAGACACGAGCATGGAATTAATTGAGTGTTCAGAGCAGCCAAAGCCATTCGAAGGTCCAGTGGGGCACCGAGAGGCGAGGAGAGAGAGCCAAGGCAAGGAGTACTGATGCGAAGCGCCATCACATTAAACATGCCCGCACTGTCCTGCGAGAGCCGCCAAGACGAGAGCTAGGAACTATTGAATCCTTCAGTCCCCATCTCCAAGTTTAATACAATTTTTATCTTGTTTTCACACATCTCCGTTCATGTGCCCTCGGGAAGGAGTTGTGGAAACGAAAGGTCAGGAAAAGTGGTCGGCATGGAATCAATTTATCTCACCAATCAGGATTGTCTCCTTAGAGTTCACCCTCTATCGTCAACACAGGGATTCGTTAATGCATTTTTGCCATCTTGCTCGTATAGAGCTGAAATGGCTCTGGGAAGCGATTGTGGACTTCTTGTCAGATACTCATGTTTTATTTCTGTGGACTGATATACAGTTGTTTACTATTATCTCAAAGTCGAGATATTTCTACAATCTTCGACGCAAAAGACAAACCTTTCTATATTCTCCCAACATTTTAGTATGTGCACATGGACTACAGGTCCTCTAATCAATCAGGTGTCATCTGCATCCATCGTCCTCAAGGTGGAGGTCTGAAGATTGAAGATTTGATGCACTCTCACTTGCAGTTGCAAGGGTTGCATGAGCATTTGTCACCGCACTTGCATCCTTCGTTGGCTCCCTCGAAGCTGAAACACCATCACAAGCTTCATGAGCAAAATAGTGCAGCAGAAGAGAAGCAAGCTACTGTATTGGTTGAATGTCCATCATCTAAGAAGCTCATGCCTGGAACTAGAATGGGTCGGAACTACTAGAATTGGATATTGAATCATACCCTCTCATCTCCGAACTCTCGAAGTCGTCCATGGACCTTTTAGCGCAGCAGCTTCATCGACAGAACGAGCAGATAAGATCAGATTCATGAGATCAAGTAATTGACATGCTATTCCACTCATTGGACACTTGAATAACTCTCCAACTCTTCCTCTCGTCGATGTCACAAAAGCAATCGGTGAAATTACGTGCGGTCATTGAGCAAAATCAAACATGTCAGCGTCAGATTTAGTGGTCGAGATTCGGAATACAGCTCAAGCAGGAGAAGCTGACGGACCTGTTGCCGCTGGCGCACTTGCAGGCGGCACCGCATGAGCAACCGGAGTTTCCGCAGCCAGACATCTTGAGATGCTTGATAGAACGACGAAGCGCAGGCAGGCTCGAACGAAGAAAGAAGGATTGGAATGGAATGGGATGGATGGGGATGGGGCAGGCAAGGGGCTTGAGAGCAATGTGTTGTGCTGCTGAAGAATGCGGAGCCAGGAGCTGCTTTATATACTGGCTTGATCCGCCTTGCCTCCATTGCAAGCGCATGAAAGCCAATCTAGGTGACTTCTGAGCAGGTTCCACAGTCATGTATGTGATCTCGACATTGGATTGGATTATACATGAAGCATCAAAGTCAACAGATGAAGATTGATGGTCTGAATGTAAATCGTACGCAGTCCTCTCCCATCTCTTGAATGTACCATTTCATGAGCATGACACTTTGTCTTTTAGTATCAGAATTATCAGTATCATTTCAGTGGCATTGTTTTCAAATTTTGTGTATATTGGTCATTATTTATCACTAATCTACTGGAACATTGGTTTTATATAACTGTATATACATATATTTCATTTTTTTTCAATGGTTTCTTAGCAATTTTTGCACGAAAACTAACTTAAACTTATGAAATTATTATTTCAAATCTGCAAAGATATATATAAATAAAGAAAAGATTCTATCCGTGGTCATATTTCTTAGTCTTTTTTCTAAATAAAAAAAAAAATCTCGAAGCAAATTTGCTCCGCTGCATGGAAGCTCGACAGATTTGCGTCTTTCTTTACAAGCCAATGAATCCTAGTGGGTTGATCACCTCGCTTAAACTGACTCAATCGTTCTCTCCATTTTTTATCATGACAGTTCCAGCCATCATAAACAAGTTATATATAATCAGTTCTAACAAATTAAGGTTGTTAAGAAATGTTCAGCATTTTTTAAGGTTGTTAATAGAAATCATTAAATTAGTAAAAAATCATTAAGTTAAATTATGAGAATATAGAAAGTTAAAAGTGCAAAGGTAGTTCTCAACAGGAATACTCTCAACTTTATGAAACTCTCATCACTCAAATCTAAGAGGACGACGTGAGTAGATGACTCTCAACCAGCTGACTACTGAATTAACATATGGCCATAGCAGTGCAAACTAACGTGTTCTGACCTCCATGTGATAAAAAAAAAACACGACTAGCTTGCATTCCAATTCTGAATTTCAGTGTAAATATGAAGCCCCATCAAAAGAGTGTAATGTGATGAGAATATATACACCATATAGTATAATTGATCTTCAGAATTGTCTCCAAATAGTAGAATAAGCTTCCATGTGACGACATCAAGGTTGATATGAACCCATGAGGTGGTGGAACTTCACGTCGTCCTTGGGGTAACGCAACTGGTGCAGTTGGTAACCGAGTTTCGTTAGAAGCTTGAGTACAAGCACGTAATGAAAGTTATGTTTCTAAAATTGGAATGAGATTATACATGTACATTAATATCCAAACACACAAAAGAAAACCTTCCTGATTATGTTTCAAGTATTCATTCATTCAGCCTTGGTGCACAATTGACCCCACTTCCGCATAGATTTGCGACAGTATCAATAATTTCCAATACAGGAAGTTACCTTCCTGCTTCTCAACAGCTTTTGGGTCATCTGAAGAGCAGAGTTTCATGCTCATCAGGTTTTAAAGGTGTATTTAATAGATGTAAAGGATTGTGTGTCCGATGCACGCACAGACTCAGAGTCCTTACTGTACTTCATGCACTCGTTGTTTGATTGCACATCAAGCAACAAGTTGACCACATACATGCCTGTGGAACCAGCTCAGAAGTCACCGAGATTGGCTTGCAGCCGCATGCAAAGGAGGCAAGGCAGATCAAGCCAGTATATAAAGCAGCTCATGGCTCCGGATTCTTCAGCAGCACAACACATTGCTCTCAAGAAATGTGTTTAATAATTTCATAAGTTTAAGTTATTTTTAGTGCAAAAATTGCTAAGAAACCATTGAAAAAAAATGAAATATACGTACATACAGTTATATAAAACCAATGTTCCAGTAGATTAGTGATAAATAATGACCAATATACACAAAATTTGAAAACAATGCCTCCGAGAATGATACTGATAATTCTGATCTTAAAAAACAAAGTATCATGCTCATGAAATGGTACATTCAAGAGATGGGAGACGATTCAGACCATCAATGTTCATCTGTTGACTTTGTTGCTTCATGTGCAATCCAATGTCGAGATCACACTCATGACTGTGGAACCTGCTCAGAAGTCACCGAGATTGGCTTTCATGCGATTGCAGTGGAGGCAAGGCGGATCAAGCCAGTATATAAAGCAGCTCATGGCTCCGCATTCTTCAGCAGCACAACACATTGCTCTCAAGCCCCTTGCCTGCCCCATCCCCATCCATCCCATCCCATTCCAATCCTTCTTTCTTCGTTCGAGCCTGCCTGCGCTTCGTCGTTCTATCAAGCATCTCAAGATGTCTGGCTGCGGAAACTCCGGTTGCTCATGCGGTGCCGCCTGCAAGTGCGCCAGCGGCAACAGGTCCGTCAGCTTCTCCTGCTTGAGCTGTATTCCGAATCTCGAGCACTAAATCTGACGGTGACATGTCTGATTTTGCTCAATGACCGCACGTAATTTCACCGATTGCTTTTGTGACAGCGTCGAGAGGAAGAGTTGGAGAGTTATTCAAGTGTCCAATGAGTGGAATAGCATGTCAATTACTTGATCTCATGAATCTGATCTTATCTGCTCGTTCTGTCGATGAAGCTGCTGCGCTAAAAGGTCCATGGACGACTTCGAGAGTTCGGAGATGAGAGGGTATGATTCAATATCCAATTCTAGTAGTTCCGACCCATCCTAGTTCCAGGCATGAGCTTCTTAGGTGATGGACATTCAACCAAAACAGTAGCTTGCTTCTCTTCTGCTGCACTATTTTGCTCATGAAGCTTGTGATGGTGTTTCAGCTTCGAGGGAGCCAACGAAGGATGCAAGTGCGGTGACAAATGCTCATGCAACCCTTGCAACTGCAAGTGAGAGTGCATCAATCCTTCAATCTTCAGACCTCCACCTTGAGGACGATGGATACAGATGACACCTGACTGAGGAGAGGACCTGTAGTCCATGTGCACATACTAAAATGTTGGGAGAATATAGAAAGTGTTGTCTTTTGCGTCCAAGGTTGTTCAAAGATCTCGATTATGAGATAACAGTGATCGACTGTATATCTATCTGTCCACAGAAATAAAGACAATATTATCTGACAATGTACATGAAGTGGTTGCATTTTGAAAACTATTGGCTTCTGTGATGGTAGCATTGTTTGATTATTTTTCCACGGTGGACATAATCTTGAGTTTAACGGTGTCGAGGAAATAATGGTGCACGGAGTGTTAAGAGATTTTGGGGTGGGAGAATGTCATTTGGGATACCGGTACAGCAGTCCATCTTTATTCGATGTGGGCTATCTAATTAGTTGTAAGCTTCTTCTTAAGATATGTTGACTAAATTGTTGATGAGTTGGAAATTACTTACGCGGAGAAAATTCTAATTTTGCTACTACTTATGGACTTGGATATTAATAGTTCAATTTTTGAATTGGATGTTGGTGATTTTGTATGTTTTGGTGTTATTGAAGTTTGCATATAGGATCTCACGGCGGGTTGCAAGTTGTCTTGAGATGATATGTTATCCTTCAAGGCTTTACGATTCATAATTCTTGATTTTTTTCATTTATTCTGATTAAACTAAAAGCATACAAAAAGATATTTTAATTACATTTGTGACAGTCGATATGCAACAAAACGATTGGTATCTTTCTATTTTGCTACTTCATCATCCATAGCTTAAAACTTCAATTATGAAAGGATTCACGTCAAATCAAATTTAAGTTTAACTATATCTCTGGATTTTGATTGATATATGTGGTAGTGAAGTCAATGTGACGTATCAAATCTGGCCATCTTTAGAAGAATATTTTTCATAAAGACGATTGGGATTTTTCAACTGAAGTTAATCTAAGCTTAGTGGAACCTCAAACATTTTGCTTATGCTTTGTATATAATTAAGCTACAATGAATGGGAATATGACATGACAAGGTGTAGTTGCAAATTAAAAATCATCAATCAAAGCAACATAATAAACCGGATGTTGAAAAGAAAAGGCCTCAAGTCATGGAGAGCCTTAGATTGACATGCATAAGATTGGAAATCTATCGAGTCGATAAGAATAGGGAAATTCACAAAAGCTAATGAGCGGCGTTGAGTGTTTTAGATTCTCATGGAACATTGGTTGTGAAACAGGGCAGGGAGATAGCACAGATCTACAGAGGGAACCTCGTTGGAGAATGCAGTCCTGCGAAGCTCACAGCATTTCTTGTTTCAGAGTAAGTCCACATTCGAGTGACTCGAATGGACATCAGTTTTTGGAGCAACTTCTTCCACCGACCATGAAAGAGTGCTCATAGGACTCCAAGTGCAAAACATTCCCTTGCATGTTGGACATACCGCAGCGCAGATCACGAACGAGTGTAACTGAAGCATCTGGCTTCTCGAACATCCGAATCCAGATGGCTGCCTCGCGCCAATTCAATCGGTGCTCTGCTACGCTATTCAGGAATCTATTCCATCATTGAATCCGATGAAAGTACAGGCTTTGAAGGGGATCACTGCCCTGCCCTGCCCTGCCCTGAAGAAACGTGCTTCGGATCTGCCTACTCGTCCCAATCAAGGAGATTTTGAGAGAGGACGACTACGCATGACCCTAACCCTAAACTCTCAGCTCGCCATGCATGACTTGCTGCGGTCCACAGAGGTCGATCCCTTCTACATAGACTAGCAGTAGAATCATACTTCACCTTCAGACTTCCTCAGTTTCACTTCACTTCACACTTTTCGAACACTGATTTCTTATATGCTCCCATAAAATCTGAAATCAAGCCTTATCATAGCTTGTGAATAATAATAACTGAATTGAAGAGTGCCTTATTTTTATTTAGATAAATATATAGCATAATATATGACAAATTACCAATCGGGCCCATTAGCTCAGTTGGTTAGAGCGTCGTGCTAATAACGCGAAGGTCACAGGTTCGAGACCTGTATGGGCCACTCACTTTTCATATTCATTCAGCGTGCTGTTTTTGTGAAAAATAGTTCTGTTTTTAAGAAGGAATATAAAACTGAGATAAGGAGAAATGAAAATAAAACAATTCAACTGCTCGGTTTCCATGAATTTAGCGATCCAAAATATTATGGAATCAATAAGTTCCTCGTATAAAAGCCATGAGACGACAGAAATCAGTTGAAATCAGAATTTGGGAAGAGTGGATACAGACAGTATACGGAAAGTTCGTTTCGGGTACGTCATGAACTGACTGCGGGGGATAAACGAATTGTGAAAGCCGGTCGATATGCGGCTTAATGTTTTAATAAAGCCATAAAATAATATTTGATCAAATTCCATCGTGCCGTGAAAAATATTGTGAAAATTGTGAAAAATATTCTATTTGAGAAGGAATATCAAACTGATATAAAGAAAAATAAAAACAAACTATTCCAATGCTGAGTTTCCAGCAATTTCACGATCCAGAATTTCATGGAACAATGCCATGAGGTAATAGAAATCGGTTGAAAGCAGAATTTGGGAAGAGTGGACACAAACACAGACAGAGAGAGGATGGGGAAAGTTCGTTTCGGGTACATGAATGATTCATCATCCATCATGTACCCGAAATTGCGGGGGCTAAATAATTTAAATGATTTTGAGATCCCGTCGAATTGAGGCTCAATGATTTAATACCGAACGAGCGTGCGGGGCCCACGCCAGCAGAAAATAGAAAGGCATGAATGAATGTGATCTTCACGACGCCCAGCTGCTGGCTGCATCGGACGGACACCGATTCTGTTTACGTTGCGCGAATCCAAAACCCCGAGCCCTCACTCGCTCGTCCGGTCAGAAAGAACGTTGGCATGCGCTTGCAGCAGTTGTACTTTGAATGGATCGCAGAGCGGGGTTTCAGATTGAGATCAAGATCAAGAACGCCGATCCGTATTCGTCATTCGTCATTCGGAGCTGGGCCTTCGAGCGGTGGGAGAATCGCACACCTTCATCGATCGATCGATCGATCGAGCACTGCGTGCGTAAAATCAGAAGTCTACGTCGAGAAGGATCTGAAATTGCTCGTCGTGTGCAGTCTGAATCGCTGAACTGAAGCTGAAGCTGCAGCAGTGAACTGAATCCTCGGACGATTGGGGAGCTGAGTGACGGACGTGATTGAGCTCGGGGAAGCGGGAGTGAAGTGCAGCTGAGATGGGGTTCCAAGAAGGTCCGGGCAGGCTCAGACGGGTGATCACAGCTCTTGTTCTCGGGTCGACTCTGTGCATGGCGTTGTACTGGGAGTTCATCGGACACACGTCTGCGGATCTGAAGCCATGCCCGCCGTGTGCATGCGACTGTTTGCAGCCCGGGGATGAATCCTTGAAAGAGTCTCTTGGAGATTTGAAAGATGTTATCCTGCCAAATTGTGGCAGAGATCATCCGGGCATGCAAAGTGAGTTGAAGAAAAGCAGATTTCAGTTGATGAAGGAAGAGTTCCTTCTGAATAAAATAGTACGGCAAGAAACTCAACTGCGCTACGAAAAGCCGATCAGAGATGCCCAAAAGAAGGCAGCTGATCATGAAAAGGAGTATGAGAGCTGCAATCAGAAATTGATTGAGAGCGAGGGAGCCAGAGAAATGGCCGCAATCGACCTTTCTAACCAGAGAAAGGTCACACTTTTGTGGGAAGAGAGGGCACGAACATTGGGATGGAAGGACGTGAAAGAACGAGGGACGAATCCACAAGCGGCGAGTCCCAGCTCATCCGATCAGATGAGCTGAAGTACATGCAGGTATCCTTCTGTCCACCCAGTCTCCTGCACTTGAGTCATTGGAGCGACTCCGGTGTTTTTTCGTCGAAGACGCTGTATCAGATATTGCCCACAAGTTCCTGATATATTACGCATTGGTTACTGCAGATTGCATGTTGGAGCTTGGCTCTCCTTTCAATAGTCGCGATGCATCGTTGAGAAGCAACCGGGAACCAACTGAGCACGTGGACATGAAGAAGCTGGGCGATAAAAATTAGCATCTAGTCAAATTTCGTGGTTAATGATTGAGCACCACTGATGTCGTATATTTAAGCGAACAATTTCGTTTTGCATTTTTCATGAACATCCATTATAGTTCTCACTATTAGTGGAAATTATCGTTCATGTTCCCTTCATTGAAGGTCTCCCTTTTTTTAGGTAGAGCTAAGCCATTATAAATGTCTGTTGTAATGAAGCTAATGTTTGACCGTCATAAGCTTCTTTAGATAGACATGTAGTGAGCAAGGCCAGATTTGATACACGAGTCACACTATCGATCTCATGAAAGTAAGAAAGATTATAGATCAGGTCAGCTGACCCGCTAGAGAAAAAAATCTTCAGAGAAAAAAGCCATATTTGATACCGTTGTCAAATTATTGAACTTCCTTCAATACTGGAGGCAAAAGATCAGATCAAATGACTTGTTAAAACATTTAGTGCTAGAAATGTAAGAGTGAAAGCCATGTCTGATACCATTGTCATATCCTTGAGCTTTTGTCAACACATATGACGCAGTAGATCAGATTGTATGGCTTTCTAATGATTGACTGTACCTTACATCTATGTCAATCAACATTGCGTTTTCAGAGCCCATGGAAGGAGTACCATGATCTCAATATCCACAATAGTTACGGATAACATGAGATTCCTGCAGTACCTTACAGGAATTGTACAGTTACTTGTATGCTGTTCCGTATCAACATTAGCTTGACTAGGATGTTCTCTTGTCCACTATTACCAGGATATACAGGTAATAGAAATTATGTACATCTAGTGAGTTGACGAAGGTCTGTAGGTCTGTAGGAGATGAGCCGAGTCTGCTCAAATTTTATTCTCATTAAACAGGCTCTACTTCGGTAACTCGTCAAGCTGAGGCGAGCCAGTGGACTCATCCTTTTCAGTTGAAATTTTCGTAGTTCTACTTCATTGAATTGAACATTCTGGCTGCCGCTCACATGTATCAGGCACAAGTCTATCACCGTTTTGATGCACTAACCCTCTCCAACGGAGGAAACTGCAGGCTTATGATGATGGGGATTCGACTGTTGAGGTTCTTCAAATATCAAAATGGTTTCAAGCATTGACATCTTTTAAGTCGTTTGAAGTCTAGGCGTAATATAAGAAAATTTCCGAAATTTCCGTCAATGAAATAAATCCTGAATGATTTTTTTAAATTATCATAAACTAAATAGTCCCTAAGGATTTCAATGTCTAGAACTTGGTGCAGGAATCTTGTAAAAACTTCTCCACATCTCTTGCCAGTCCAGGGTATGAAATACCCCCCACTAGAGATGTTTTCCTGAAACTTGTCACATGCTTGTGAAAGGTTGAACACAATGATTTCCCAGAAACAAAAAAAATGTGATCGCTATTATCTGTTAACATATTCAGCATATCCCTTTATATGTTAGGTAAATTTGGTTATTATTTGTTCTTCTAGCGTATTCTTTTTTCTAATGTATTCTTAGATTGCAGTTCCATATGAGACGTGGTGGCAAAGCCGACATCTGACCAGTCAGACTCTCGGAGCCTGAGGAGATCCTTATTCTAAGGATTTTTCATTGCCCTGCCAGTCGGAATACTCATGGTCGAGGCAAAGTATTACTTTACGTAAATATTGTAAGTTGCTGGTGAACATAATTATCATATGGAATTTAGTCGGCATTGCAACCGAATCAAAGGACAAATGGATAGTAGAGTCATGAATTCCAAATGTGAACTCTTGGATCTGGCCAATGAACTGCTAAGCTACACAGGCGGATAACTTGAAGTTGAACTGCAAATTTTTTCTTGGAATGGGAAGATGGCAGCCCAGTGCTACATCTACGAACATCTGGTGAAGAAATTTACAATTAAAAGATGTATAAAAACGGATCCAACACTTCTGCTACGCTTTGAGAATACTCGGAGGTTCGTGAAAGAGAAGTGAAAACCGAGGTGTGAAATTATTCTTGAAGCAACATTTATTAGAAACGTTAGTATTTTTTTAAAATTTAGTGACTACTGAATTTTCAATCAGTCTTTTCTTCATATACAGAATGCAAAAAGGGAATGATTCAGCTTCACATATATTATGATTTTAACATAACTTTCTGAATTTTATATAATTCATGAAAACAGAACTACTAAGCATGATAATTTTGGACTAAGGCAAATGGATTTGATGCGTACATATGTAAGCACATAACGTGAATTTAACCTTATTCTACAACTTGAAAGGTAGAAGGACGCCTGTAGAAGTTTAGAAATTACTTTTAAGTGCAGAGAACAACGAATCGCGTCAAATGATGAACCAGCCTCAAAATTGTAATGTATGAGACTACAAATCTTCGTTAGTGTACGTTGGATCATATCTTGCAAAATCAAGAAAATGTTATTTCTCTTTCTAGTAAAATGCGAGAAGATTTAAAATTATTTCATCTTTTTTTTCGTCGAAATACTACTATAAATCAATTAACTATTAATTCAGAACAGGGTTGGAGAGATAAGCTGCTCATAGGATTTTCCTCAACTTATATGCTTGAAGAGACGATAAATTAACAAAACAAAAACAATATCATGTCGAAATCTAGTTATTTTATCTAATCTAAATTTGATTCGAACTTGTTGCAGAGGAAAAATTTCCTTTAATTCCCACGGGGATTTGAAAGAGCAAAGGGGACCGAAACGAGCGCGCAGCTGGTTTCGGAGATTTCCTCGAAGTCAAAACAGGCGAGGGACTGGCATAGTCGTCGCATTGAACCAATTGATCATGAGAATCTGCAGTCTACATCCAACGAATCCACCAAGAGGTCGGTCTATCGAGTCGATTGTGAAGGCAAAATCTGCCAGCCACTTAGCTCCACGAAGCTGATCTCCGTGTTCGTTAAACGCTGCACAGGCCTACGAGCAGCAGCAAGGTTGGCTCTTGCTGTGAAGCGGCGTGTTACCACACAACCAGAAAGTTCGACTCATTGGAGCACAAATCTTCACTTCCTGGTTTCGCACCTGGAGCTTCTTTTGAGTACCCTCAATAGCCAAACTTTCAAGGTCTCGGAGATCCATAACCCTCAGGAAAGCATACACTAAAATAACTCTCTAAATATTATTATATCCATGAACATACAACTAAAAAACATGACAATTTTGGACTAAGTCAGATGGATTTGATGCATACATATGTAAGCACATGACGTATACTTCACCTTATTCTATATTCTAAAAAGTAGGACTATACCTTATTCATCATAATCTAAAAAGTAGGACGCGTGTACTTTGTAGAAGGTTAGTGTTTACTTTTAAGTGCAGAGAAGATGCAACTGAATTGCAATGAGAACAATGCGTGACTGAAATGTAGTGAGATCCTTCCTATAAGCCCATGACATCGTAGTTCTGGTGACTTCGAATCGATCGGTGGAGAATGGACCCCACCATCGGAGTGACTACAGTACAAAACTGTCTCATTTACACGCGTACGGACAGGACGTACGGGAGCTTCTTCCATATTTAGTGGTCGAGGTCAATGGCAAGATACCGAGAGATGACCGGATAATGTGTACCCGGGTTATTCTAATCGTGGCAGTGGGAGAGAGATGGAGACTTTCCCTGGAACCTTCGCAAGGCGGAACAATGCTCTATTTATTGTTTGGAAGGTTCGTGCAATGCGCACTCGCGGTTGATTGCCAAACAAATGATACATACTAGCCCCAATAAAATGAATGACAATATGATACATTTTGGGTGTTAATCCTGAATGGGTTCTCTTGAATGTGCGTGCCTAGTTCACTTTTAAGACTTTCTCACTTTAGTACATCTTTAGTTTGTTTAGTTTTGTTTCTTGTTCTTTTGGAGCATATGATATACACAAAAATTTTACTTGTAAGGTTGAATGTGAATGCATGAAATAATAAAACTTATTTTTTTGTTTCATGCTTCTTGGTTTCAATTTTTCAAGGAGATTTATGACATCCAATGACAATCTATTATCACTTGAAATGCCAAATATGACCAAAGATGTTGCCCAAAAACGTTCCACTAAGCTAAATGTAAAGTTCACATAGATTTTCTTACTCTTCTCGTAAATCAAAATATGGCTTTCGATACACTCCTGCTCCAAAACTGAATCCATTTATTTTATCCTCACAATGCAGTCTTTAGTTACCTCTTTCTTAAGTCCAAATGATATTGTTTGACGGATCATAGCTGATTTAGATAACATTATCAAAATTTTCTTCAAAATGTTGAATTGAAAAAGTTGCCATGGAAACACGTTTTTTTGAAAATTTTTAAGCAGTAGGTTTATTATCAATGGAAGATATCAAAGCTTCAAAATATTCAAAAATGTTATGTCTTTCTTTTATGATTGTAGAAAACTAAAGGATTATGTCTTTAAGATGTGTGCAAGGAAATTAGATTCAAGATTGTACACTTTAAGGATATTACAAGACCTAAAATGTACTTAAATTATTTAGAGAGTCTGATTTTATTTTCACAAGTCTTTTATTAAAGTACTTTTCATAATTAGCCTTGGTTCTATTTCTTGATTATAGGAAGGCTTAGTTGTAGCTTTCCAAAGTATTTGCTATCTAGTCAGCCCTCTCAACAGAAAAATTACACTCGATTGGTTTTTGTATCCTTGGAAGTACAATTCGAATTAATATTTAGTTTACTACGTTCTCATGAAAATAAAGACAGAGTTATGTCATCACTGATCCTTTACATTGCTAGAAATTTTTCCCAAAAGCAGCAGTTAGAAACACGCCTCCTTATATGAAAGTATGACAAATCCCTTCTTAAGTTTGTGATTTCTTTCATCTTCTGTTTAGATTGGTTAAATTACAGTTCTTTTGCACTAGGGCAATCAAAACTTAATTCAAGGAGGTTGTTTTTTTTTCTTGCAAGCAGTCACAACTGAATGTAGAAAAAAAACGGACAACAAAAACAATTCACTAACTTATTTGCCTTCTCCGTTTGTGATGCCGATTGGCTCTCGCCTTTAGTCCTGCATTGAAACCATTTTATCACCAACTCATGATATGAAAAACAAAACTTGAACATTATACAAAATGACATGGTAAATATATCATGCCCGTGGGACCCAAAGTGTCAAAAGTCTAAACAACACAATACAACCCAAACATCCATTGACCAGGGCAAATATACTAAAGATCAACCCCTAACTAATGCCAAGAGCATTAGAACAATGAAGTCCCTAATATAACAACCTAAATCAAAATGCACTAGTTGTAATGAAGAATAAAAATCTCCACTCATCACTAACATCAACACCACTAAAGTAAATGCAATTGCCGTTCCTGATTCCGATTATAACAGTAGCTGTCGTGAGTATGTTAAACGCAACCGAGAAGAAGTGAAGAAAGGCAAGGAAAGTCGAAAAGAAAAATTAAAAATAAAATTTTAATATTATTATTACTATTCTTATGTGGGCAAGGGAGCTCCAAAGGAATAAAGAAAGGAGCGAGGAGTTGCGAAAATCGTCTTCCTTTCGTCGTGAAATACCGAAAATCTGCACATGCGGTTATCTCTCTACGTTGACTCAGCGGACGGGGAGGTAGATAAGGTTGACTCGTGGGTGGCGACACGGGGGCACAATGGAATGATGCCTCTCATCGAGTGAGGCTGCAGAGAGAAGCAGCAGGGGATGCAAAAGCATGTCAACGAGAGCAAATGCTCCAAAAGATGTCCAAAAGATAATAATATCCATCATGGAATCCAACAAGTGGAAGTGTCAGTCTGACCCATTCCCTCGTCCCGTTCTTGAAGGTCCGAGCTGGCCTGGCCTCCTGACGATGCTGCTTGCTTCCTTCGAGTACGACGAAGGCACCAGGCCGAGGGTCTGATGAAATGAATCCTCGGCTCAAGAGGAATGGAATGAGAGCGTTCCTGTTCGCTCCTCATTCGGCAGTGGACTCGGTCTCGCCCATTTCTCACCTGCTTGCGCAGCAAGGTCTGCGGCCACCACTGTAGAATCCCCGTAGGTTCTGCCTCCCCCTGTTGATACCAGCAGCTGCTGCTCTTGGGCAGCATTCTCTCGCCTACTTCAACATCCAAGTACGTGAGCCATTCTTTGCTCTGTTTTCGCTTTGTGTGTCGTGGTGTGTGTCCTGACGACGGCCGTCAGGCGTTTGGATTTTGCACATTCGTGTCATCGACCCCTTTCAGCTTTCATTGCCCAGGGGAGCAATATGGTGCCCCATAGTTATCGATGATTGTACCTGAAAAGTATTGATTGGTCTTCTGGTTTGTTTCTAGATCCTTGCCATGTGCGAAGATCGATTTTATTTTGTATATAGATCTGCGTGAGCTTGAAATATATCCCACCGTAATTGATAGCTCCAGAGGCTCCCTGCATCTGAGCTCGCTAGCTCTTATCCTAGTTGCTGCTGCTGCTGCTGTCATCTTCTTTCGCCGATTTGTTAGTGAGTTTCTTATCGAGCTTGCCAGTTTTTGTTATGTACGAGTTTGAAACGCCTTCTGTGAGGAGTCATTCTTATGATCGAAGAACTGACAGCTCGATCAGGTCAGGCATTCGATTTCAGAGTCTTACCCTGAGTGTGTGTGCATAGGTGGGGTTTCAGGCAACAGAGGGAATGTACAGCGAAAGGGTTTTACAGAAAATAATGGCGGCGGTGCGAGGCATCACAGAAGGAAGGCCGACAGAAACAAAATCAGTAGAATCCACGAGCGAAATGGGTCCATCTCTGTGAGCGCCTCACAGTCGGTTGGGAGGATCCCCTTGTTGGCAGCAAGGCAACTCGAGAGATTTCTTCGATACGAATCAGGGAGAAGCTCGATGGCTCTCTTGAAGCGAACCTCGCCGAGCTCCTTCTCTCCGCTCAAGTACATCAGCCTGCCCAGCCTTCTGATATGGGTGATGGCGACGTACATCATTCTGGATCTGGGCATGCACCTGTCCACCTCCGAGGACGGGCATGTCCACAGCCAGGTGATCAAGTCTATCAAGTCGAAAATCTCGGAGACAGCGGCGGAGGAAGAAGAAAATGGCAGCGCGGTTATGGAAGACGGAAGGAATGCCGATTGCAACTCGGTTGAAGCTCACATGGACGTGCAAGAAGACCAACCCAGAAAGCCCGAGGATCCATGGAACCAGCTGAAATGGGGTCTACCGCCAGCAGAGTGTCGAGTCAAGGGCCACCTCATCGAGCGACTGGATCCATTGAACAACTACCGCAGAGGCGTCGCTCTGGGCTTCACCACCGACTTGGACGACAAAACTCAGATCGAGCAATGGTTTCTCGGCACCAAAGAGGATCTCAACAAGGCCAAACGAAGAGTGTTCATCGACCTGGGCGCCAACGAATTCACCACCAGCTTTCTGTGGTTCATGCAGAGGTACCCGTGCGATTTCACTGAGATTCACGCCTTCGAGGCGGATCCGAATTTGTTCAAGTTCCCTACAGGCTGGGACGAGGAGGCGAATTGGATCCAAGAGCCTGGCTGGGGAAAGGTCAAATCCAGAGCTGGATTCGTGCCTTCCTGGCTGCTGGAACGCATCCATTACTACAACAAGTACGCCGGTGTCGTCGACAATGTGTCTGCCGTGAACATCACTCGGTTCATGAAGGAGGAACTGAAACTGACTCCCGAAGACACTGTGATTGTGAAGATGGACATCGAAGGAGCGGAGTGGAACATTCTGTACGACTGGGTCAAAGATCCAGAAATGCCTCAAATCATCGACGAACTCTTCGTGGAGTTGCACTACTGGCATCCGGACAACAAGTGGGATTTCAAGCGCTGGGGCAGAGTGGATGCCACCAGAATGCTCGCCGATCTCCGATTCAGAGGATTTTACGCCCATTATTGGGACTGATTAATCAGTCATCGACCTCATTGCCATTTGTTTCTCAGCGCACATTCAATTTCAATTTCGATCGTTCGGAGTCTGCTCCTGTCAGCTATAGCTGCTTGGGGATGGGGTAGGTGAAAGGCGACAGCAATGATGTAGGCGGTAGGGCCAGGCAGGACACAGAGGAGGGAGGGAGGGAGACGAGAAAAATAAGTCTGCCCAGGCGAGCGGCTGCGCTCCAGCACATCACAGCACGGCCATGTGCGTATGTAAGGTCCAGTAAATTTTTGTAAAGCTCCGGACTGATGAAGGTCTTGGGAACTCACTCAGCTCAGCCTTCGAGGACTCAGATTCGGGACCGTGTGCAGTACGTGATCGAAGTGTGTCTCGTGCGGTATGTGAGTGACGTCGTCCTCTGCCTGTCCACGAGCTCGGTGAGTACTCGTAACGGCTGCGCATTGTTATATATTTTTCCTCCTCCTCCACGCGAAGTGCAATCAGAAACGACAGTGAAGCTGGCCCCTTCCCCTCCCCCCATTTCATGTCGTACCACTTCCTTTCGTACCATTTCGTGTCGTCTCGTGCCACTTTGTCGATGATGATGATGATGATGATTTGCTGGAATCCTTCTTCGCATACGACAACAGCACTGCTCGAGTGCTGAGGGCCCCGTTCGCCATCGGGTGAGCGACTTCAGCAGCAGTTCTAACTGCAGCCAACAAATTATATGCCCTCGAGGTGATCTGGGGAAAACGACGGAGACCAGATCAGGACTCTTGTGGGCAAGATCTGGGATCAGAGCCAATCATGAGTGGGATGGGGCTTTGCTGGAGGCTTAGATATTTCAACGAGAATTCGGTTTGGATGGAGGGGACGATAGCTCTAAGCTCTGGATATGTCAGGATACAATTCACACCTTTGGATAGGACAGAAAGTACTATGTCCAACTGTTGCAACAATTGTGGCGATCCTGTTTGCTTCCAATAGCACCGCATTCAGATATCCTTTTACTTTCACATCGGAGGAGGACGCTTTGCGTTGTATGGCACAATGTACATTTTGATTTTGATACTGAAATTTTCTATCACAAACAGCAAAAATCCCCTCCATAAAATTTGGTCTTTTCAATTGATACGGGGTGTAAGTCTGAGGATGAAGAGCAACAATTACGTAAGTTTCTCCAGCGAGAAAGTGAAGGAGTAGAAACATGCTACAAGGTACTTCCATGTATAACACACTGTCTCGAAGGTTTACTACTCATGAACTTCCAACACGCAAGCATTCAAGAATGGGATAATCAGTTAGACATAGCTTCTGTGGATGACACCTGGAATACACTGCGATGTACATAACTTCCAGCCTCATTCTTTATGACTCCTTTGCAAAATAAAGCTGACGAGCTTTGTCGGTTCCTGCATTATTTGGCGAGTCACGTTAGCATTCACTGTAGATAACCCTCTTGGTCCCTCACTTGAGATTCTTAAATTTTGCAGATGTTCAAATTGATACATCTTTTGTGCTATCCACTTGGGTACCTGGCCCCTGCCAGTACTAGTCATATTGATCTCATCGGATAACTCAATACTTAATATTCATAGCAATATGACGAAAAGACTGTAGCCTGACAGTATCCCAACATGTTTCAATTATAAAAGTTGGCTCTTTCTGAGCTAATCATTTTAAACTCTTACACGCTTTGTCTGTATCATAAGTCTTTGTTCTTGCCTTGTTTTCGAATTTTATTCCTGTCTATATTCAATCACTTTTTACCTGAAAGGGGATCCAAACCAGATGGATGGATATTCCGCATTGTAGCTCGCTACGACTTCTGCCTTGACCTTTGAATTATCGAATAAACTTGATTACTCTATGCTTAACAAGAACAGCAGGGTCCACACTTCTACTTTTGTTAGGATCGACCACAGGGACAGGGAATTTAGGGTGAAAAAAGTTCGAAATCATTCTGCTGATTGTCATGTTTATGACTATTTTCTAAAGACTGCTGTTTTCCCTGAACATAATACAAGTTTAGGATTTTTTCAAATTCCGAGAACTAAAAGTTTTAAGTACCTTGCTTAAAGGTTGTTGAAAGACTTTGGATTAATCTTGAAAGATTACCTCGTGGTGATACTAAGGAGTCACCTAAAGTATCTTACAATCTTATTTTCTAAAGACATTATAGATAAAGTAGTCTACAATGCTACACCATGATAGTCTTTTGTAAAATTCTTCAATACTCCAGCTTCATGACTTTCACCTTTATGATATAATATAAGATGATAATATATGATATATATGACCTTTATGATAATATAAACATTGACTTTTCGACTACAAGCGAAGTGATATCTCTTGGAAGTGTAACATTGATTCAAGTTTTGCCTATTTTTAGTATATAATTCGTCTCTTCTGAAGCTGAGCTCATCACCGTACATCAACAGCTAGACAAAGATATTCTTCGGAGTATTCAAACATTTTTCTTTTATGCCGGATCCAAAGCCAATCTTATACCTGTCACCATGGAATACAAGCCATCAGTCACTAAGATTTTGTCTGAACGATTTTCTGTGCAGTACGTGCTGGAATTTTGGCTTCTATTTGACAGTAATCTCACTGGGAAAATGCACTTCAACAACTTAACTCCCTGAACTCAGAATGCGTTCTGATTCCACCTTCATTACGAATTCCACGTGATGTCTGATGGCAAACCTTCCCCCCCAGTTTAAAATTATAGTTCTTATTAGATATGGTTATTCGATTGGAAGTTCTACGTGGTTGTAGCGTTATTACAAGACTTGTAAGATCACTCATAAAGTGCGACATCGACTTCCAACCTTATTAAACTAGACACACTAACAACAACATCTACAGAGCTAACAAAATATTGTTTTCATATTATTTTGAGAATCACATGACAATACCACGGATATGAACTTTATGAGGTTCTCTGAAGAAGATCCATCCGTTTGCGTTGATTGCTTATAATCCTGAGGAAGAAGGAAATTCTGAATGCATTCTGCTATTTTTTCCAGCTGTATGAGATCTCATTTTCTCGTGAAGTATCCATTTTCGTCAATACTAGAACGGAACATTCTCGGCAAGGAATGTGATATATCATTGCGGGCGTTTTTACTGAATGAAGATACAACATCAATGAACAATGAAAAGCTTGTTGAATATGTAAAATTTTCTCACTTAATTCATTACTAGAGAATGAAGCCATTGGAGCAGTCGATAGATAATCGATGAAAACTCAGAGGAAACGTTCAGGGACGAAACTTGGCACTGTATGTGAATCAAAGGTAGGAAATCTCAGGCAATGTTAAAATTATGGCTACTGCACTGACGATCGAAACTGCATAGCATATCCTGTCGTTGATTCAGCCTAGTAATTCAATCAATTTGGTGGTTCAAGATTCAGTTCTTAATCTGTCTAGCTCTCGCTTTTCGAACCACTCTAGTGGAAGATAAATTCATTCTTGTCAAAGAGTGCAAAGCTTTGCACATTACACACGACTTCAATGGCCAATTGATGTAGCAAACTTCTCTATGGGTCTTCACTGCCCCGAAGGTTTTCAATGGACCAGCTTCAGTCCAAATGGTTATGCATAGTACGTACAAATCATACGAAATCACACCGAAGAACAATTCATCTGTTGTGGTATAACACAAGCTATAATCTATTACCTTGATATCTTGCCAGTTGATCAGTTTGATGTGGAGCTGATAGGCATCCAATCGATAATTCAATGCTGATTTCAGAGCAGCATACACTCGCAGGATATCACATGTAAATCTCCCAACCGTGATTCTCCTCGAGGATTCTTCTAAATCTGCAGATATCATTCGCATATAGCGTTCTGTCCTTAGAGCTGGTTTTAGTGTGGTAATAGAAGAGATTCAAATTCATGTGGTTAGTATGCTGGTTATCCTGAGCCACGTTTGACTCTATGTACTGAAGTCAAACCCAAGGCTCTGACGTCTTAAAGGAGATGAAAGCGAAGAAAGATGAGCACTTTTCTGGATTTTGGTATTTAGCACTAGAGAATCTAGGTTTCTACATTCTTACATTCAGCTACAAAGTATACGTGAATAGGAATATTGAAGGTGTCCAGAAAAGACGAAAAAACTGAAGGCAATCTTTGCACTCCATTAGATCTTATTGGTGATGCCGTGGAATAGGAGGATCCTTTGGACATCTATCCAATTGAGTTTCATTTCAAGAATTTTATTTACATGCAAAAAGTGATAATTATTTTACAGCTTTTGATAAGAACAAATATAAATTATTCTGATGTATTCTTTTGTACAGGTTTTTCCCCTTAACTCATGTCATAATGTCTTGAGAATAATCATTCTTTTACTAAACGTTCTATATTAGACAAGATAAAGGTAGACTCGTATGTATTTGTAGAAAATTTTTGCATCTACTTCATATATCATTTTTTGAGAGTTTCAATAGTCTATTGCACATCGTATTCAATGGAGTTTTCCTATCATATATTGTGTACAATAAATAACTATTAATAACTTTTCAATTATTGAATTTGTTAATATGAAAATTTCAATCTTTGTTACAGCTACCAAGGTTATTTTACTACCCAGGGTAGTTCCCAACTACGCCAGAAAATTCCCACATGTAATCTTTCCTTTCTAAAGATTTTGAAAGATTAGATACAATGGTCGCACGTTGGAAGAAGATTCCAATGAGTTTGACGATAGACTGGCGATGAACAGCCTCTATCTGATTTCAAGGACTGCCACACTTAACAACAGTTTGAGCGTAGATTCAGTTTCTTTTCTTCCACGGTTTTCCTTCTCATTCAGGTTCCATTAAAGAAGACGACCATCAAACGTCTACAATTTCAAATCCTTTAGTGTTGATACATATTATTACTACAGATTTCTACAGGCATGTTACTGATGTAGCACAGTAAAAAAAAAGTGATCTTCTCAGACTTCAGTCACAAGCTTAGATAAGTCATTTGAAGACTTAACTGTCAAAAAATTCTGACTAGTACAAGGCAGAAGAGAATACCTTTCTTTGTGGATTCAATTGCTAAATTGTGAAGTTTAATACACCGATCAAAATCACAAAACACAGTTATTGGTAAACAAATATAAAGTCGTTACTACTGCACTGAGATTTAAGTCAGAAAGTAAGGCCGCGTGCCAAAGTCGCAGCCAAAAAGGTTCATAATTACAGTATTGCATGAACGTGCACTGACTCTAAGCCATGATCGTTGGGACTCGTCTTCAACGTAAATGATCTCGGAAACGATGTCACACAAAGAGAGAAACAGTCCTGATACCAACGAGATGGTGATTGTTGTAGATGTGTAGGTACATACATTCTTCCCGGATAATAATTCCACCCGGATCATGTCTCGGGTACACTCCATGACCCCTGATGCTAAGTCAACTGAACCACGGTGTAGTGGACAACAAAAAGTGTCGTTGTCAGACTCAGCAGATTGATCCGACAATTCCTGTGCATGTTACGTAAGTCAGCTCTATCAAGGAAACGTTTCGGAGAGACGGAAGCATGGATATCTTTGAATAATTGAAAAGAAAGAGCGAATGGTCATGGCAAATGATAACAAACTCTCGAAAACAATACGAGCTGAATACCGATGGAATGTTCTACTTGCACTCATATTGAATGGAGAGGAAACGGGGCGAAAATCTGCGATCTCTCTGGATCTAGTTAGGCTCAGACTGAACTGCAGCCTATCGACACCTGTACACAAGAACATATAAGTAGTTTGGAAATGACGACAGTAACACATCACCAGTCGGAGTAATCCCATGTGATCCACTTTTTTTGTTTCCAAAAAAAGTGGATCACATGGGATTTGCTACTCAGGCTGGAAGGCGAAGACGGATCCAAGTCAACTCCACCTCAGGGTGAACGAACTATGAGCTATGTTTCTGCATCGAATGCTCGTGATCGGAAACATCTCAATTAATGAACGTGGAATCTACAGAGCTTTCTGTAAAGGCTCCCTGCTGAATTTTACTAACTCATAACACAAACTTCGATACGACTTGTCTATAAGGGAGAAATCTGAACGTTCGTTCCAAATCTAGTTGCAAGGAGCTGACTTTTAAAGCTCAGCGAAGAGGATTTTGGAAGGACTGTATAATATTGTCCTATCGATAACCGATGGCTCCACCTTTGCTGTCTCTTGTGAGGCATTTTCTTCAAGGGAGCGCAACTCAACAATGTGTTTCACAAGCAGGGGCCGCATTGTGCCCGTATAAGGATTGCTGTGGTAAGGCAGGGTGGTGTAATTCTGGCGATGCATACTGCCGAGAAGGCTGCCGGAGGGGTCCCTGCAATTATGATACTTATCTGAACGGAGATGCTCTGTCGAAACCGTAAGTTCCTTTCCGGCCTGGCAGCTCTGCAGAGGTTGTCGTGGGCGTTGTCC